CCAGTACAGTTTACTAATTTCAATATTTCTTAAACCATTCAATATACTGGAATACTAATCCAGAGGTCCACTGTTCATTTACCTTCTATGAAACTGGTCTTTGGCTAAAATGACCTCATAAAATTAGAAAATAACATTCCATTGAACACTTTTAATTTCTTTTTGATAAGAATGTACTTTGAAACAGTGAGGAGAACTTCAAGTCTTGATAATGCTCTTAGCATTCCAATATATTGAACATTGATCAATATATCATTGAATGCTATTAATAAGAGTTATTGGTACAATGGGGATAGAGTTATAGAGGAACTTGTACTCATCCTGAGCCAGTAGTTTACCAAGTAAGCCATAAAGGATGTTCAGTATGCTATCCTTTTGTTAGTTTTGTAACATCAAGATTAACATTCTGTTAATGTATTCATTAATACGGTGTTTGTTTTAAGTAAATTTGCTTGTCACAGCTTGTTTATTACATTAGTTTTATTTGTATCAATTGGATTGTTAATACATGTTCATATTATAAATCTTTAATTGTCCCCTGAGTAATGTGTTGCGGGGGACATGGAAATACCGGATATTTATGAAACTTATATCAAAGGTTAATATCAGCAATGTCTTGGACGAGTTCGAAAATCAGTGCAGATCAATTATTTTTAAAAGAGTAATGCCCCTTGAAAAAATGAATTAAATAGAGAATTGCATTGTTAGCACTCTCATATGTACAATTCTTGCCAGAATTTAATGAAACTTAAATCATAGGTTTATATTAGCAATGTCTTGAACGAATTTGAAAATCAGTGCCGATCAATAATTTTAAAAAGAGTTATGCCCCTTGGAAATATTAATAATATGGAAAATTGCCTTATGAGCGCTCTAATGTGTACAATTCTTGCCAGATTTTTATGAAATTTATATTATAGGTTTATATCATCAATGTACTTGAAGAGTTCAAAAATCAGTGCTGATCAATTATTTAAAAAAAAGTTGTGTCCCTTGAAAATATTGATTATATGGAAAATTGCAATGTTATCGCTCTCATGTGTTCAATTCCTGCCAGAATTTTATGAAACTTATATCATAGGTTAATATCAGCAATGTCTTTGACACTTTCGAAAATCAGTTCTGATCAAATATTTTTAACGAGTTATGCCCCTGGTTAAATATCTTAAAAAACGACTTAGGTCCCCAATCCTAAACCATAAATGGTCTTGATTGCCTTGATTAGACCTTCTAGTTCACCATTTGTGTTGACCCTGTCGGACATCCCCAACCCTCTGTGTATCAATAATTTGAAAACTGCATATGTTCACCCCCTACTTAACAATATATTTGATTAATTGTCATGACAAGACCTTTACAGTAAACCATAGATATATTACAGCTGTTATCCTAATGCTAGCAAGTTAAAGGTTTGGTTTGCTTGCTTGCTTTGTTTGTATTAATGTTTGCTCAAGCATTGTAATTAAGATTGACATCTGAAAACAATATAAAAAGGCGGAGTTAAACTTGTATACATTATATTTAAATTTGATTGGACATTATCAAGTAAATCAAATTTACCTATATACAGGTTTAACTCGGCCTACTTATATTGTTTGCAGATGTCAATCTTAATTACAATGATTGAGCAAACTTTAATACAAACAAAGCAAGCAAGCCAACCAAACCTTCAACTTGCTAGCATTATGATAACAGCTGTAACTGAGCCCTTATATTGTTAATTGTGAAATAAATCAAAAAATTGTTCCACATCCCCACCCCAAAACCATATATATTCGGAACTGCCCTGACAAGATTGATTAATGTATTGGTGTTTGCTTTACACCCCATCAGTGTAAAAAGGCTATATCTTAGCAAGAGCTATTTCAAACATTTAACAAAAAACAGTTTTAAAAATCAGACAATAGGTCTTTTGATTTTATAGATAGACCTTTTATATGTACCATAGATTTTGTTTGTAGAGGGGATTTTTGGTGTATGACCAAACCTCTCATATAATAAATTTTTAGACATATTGAAAGCAGTTTAGATTCCCACCATATGTATTCTCATTTGCAAAGACAATACCATTGTGATACAGGAATGTGTTTTTCTGGGTCTTTTCTATACTGGAGTGACTTCTAGGGAATAATGGGATATATTTATTTTAGTCCACTAAAACATTATTACCTAGTATTTACTTTGAGTCTATAAAAGTTGTGAATAAATGAATTAAACAGAAACAATTGAATATGTTAATTTGTCTGAATTGTTATGTTACATGAAGTAGTATATGTATGATATGAAATTGAAGAATCATATGTAGTTGCATTACCATCCATATACTAGAGAATGTAGAGTTTTGGGACAAATACGAAGCTTTGCCTTCTGAGTCTTTCATCAGTGACTTTGGAAGGTTTTGCATTGTTTAAAGATTGTTGATATGAAGTGTTTATGAAGAAGTATTTGTGATATACCTGCATTGCTATATGATATACTTTTACATCAGAATTCTTGCACATTGCTAAGGCTCTCTGCCCCCTGAAGTCATGTTTATTGAGTATCATTTTCTAATTTTCGAATTTTCAAATGGTGTAGCTTTCTAATGAAATTTTTTTATGAAGAAGTACTGAAACTGGATCATTATAGATATTTGGTGGTTTTTGAATCCTTTAGTTTCATTTTCAAGCAGAATATGAGCCCTCTGTGTGTTAACAGTTTTAAATATCTTTTGGAGCAGCAAAAGTATCAAAAGTTTAAGTTAAACAATTAAAATATTTAACCATGTTCGAGAATGTGTTTCTCTGGTTATAATATCATATACAACATCCTTGTGTGAACATTTTATTTCTGCTATTATACTTGGACTGAAAGCTGCCTATATAAACAACTAATATTTAGAAACTACATTACTTAAATGCATTAGTCTACAACCATTTTATGATTCAGGGATTCACATGATATCTTTTTGTATTTCTGAATACATGTATCAAACAAGAAGAGGGTCTATTTAAAGTTTTGTTTGTTTCTTTTCCCACAATGAATTTAAACTAGTCATGTAGTTGCATGATTAGTTATCACCTTGATGTGTTTTGCTGGTGAATTTGTCCTCAGGTAAACTGACCAGTTAAATATTACTATCTATCTATCTTCATATTTCCGCACTCAGTCACAACTTTGACTATTACGTGCCATTGCATGCGTGGCTTATTTACAATTTACTGGCAATCACTTTTAAAAGAGTTGTTTACTTTACCTTGAAAACAATATTTTTGGGTTAAGAAAATAAGTGGCCACAGTTCACACATGATTTATTACAGGATTGATATTACACATAAATTTCATACCAGGATATTTACCTTATTAGTCAACTAAAGTTTATAGTAATGGGACAGTCAGAATCTTTAGAAATTTCACAGGATCAGTTCAGTTCTCAGTCTGAGATTGCTTCAGTAAGTAGATTTGTATTGTTCATTATTCATCTTTTATCTACTTTGAAGTTATTTACAAGTATTTATACAGCCTTGGCTTTCAAATTTTGGGTTTGAGCGTTTCTTATGAAGATAAATCTGTAAAGTGCTTTATATCAAGGAATTGTATATAATTCCTTGTTTATATGCACCAAATTTTAAATAAGTGTTGTTTTCAATTTATGTTTAGTTAAGACTGTCATATTTCAGTTTAAAAACCTTGAGCATATATAGACATAACATTCTAAGATGCTTTCATATGTTTTACCTTATCTAGCCCTAGGGCCTTAAAGTGTGAGCTTTTAGTCTGATCTATCACTTATCTTCCATTTTTAAGATTTTTTAGAATTGTACATTCTTTGTCACTGAGTAAATACTTGACTCGATTAAAAATTGCAAATTAACTTGTAGGAATCCATGTTCCTATATTCATAAGCTAGGCTCCTCTTTATTTTATGGGTTTTCTTAATGCACAATTCTTATTTTCTTAATCAATGAATCAATTTGAAACTTCGATCACAAGTTACCTTAATTATACTTGTTATATTTTTTGCATGTTAAATAGTTAGGTCAGAATTTTTTAGAATCTCTAGGATGTCCCTTTGGGTCTTAAGTGATAAAGATATTTCTTGATATAAATACATTTGTACTCTTAACACTATAATGAAAATAGAAATATAATTTTTAAAGCAGTTGGTCTATTAACATTTACTGTAAATTCAGAAATTTTCGCATGCATTTATTATTGCGGTTTTTTAAGAATGGACAAAAATGCGAGTATAATGATTGCAACATAAGTGTACTAATTTTTTAATCATTTTCTGATATGAAACATCTTGCTTGTTGAAGCACCTGTGTATATTAATTATTAATTCTGTTCATTCTACATTCATTTTTTGTCTGCCTGTCTGTCACACGTCATAACCTCAACTCCCTTTAGACAAGAGAATAGGTTTCAAGAAAACTTTCACAGAATCTTTAGTTTCTAATGGCATTGTTCAACTATTTTCTTTTTTTTCCAATTGATGTTTTGGACTTTCTGTGGCAAAACATAGCCTTTGCATATCTATAAAAAGGGTAGACATCTTGTATCTGCAACTGTTTCAGAAACAATGACTTTATTGCAAAAATTTTTTTCACATAATACCAAAACAATTTTGCATCTCCTGATACCTGTTCTATTCTTTTATCATAATAATTTTAGGTTTTTACCTACATTAATCATAGACTTTGACATATCTATGCCAAAAGGGGGATCTGTGACATGAATAATTGAACACTTTTCACAGTTTTTCTTATTATGTGATTTTAGGCATCAGGATTGTTAGATAATGATTCATGTTTTATTTACAGAAAGATGTAGATATTAGTGGAATTTCAGAGTTTATTTATAGAACTAGTGTCAATATTGTTGCTGTAATTATCACATGGGATGTGAGATATACGTAACTCTTATTGAATGGCTAAAATAGAATGGCATGATGAACATCCTACTTCTATAGCCTAAGTATAAGTCGTAATAAACACTTACATTGATTGGAAGTGTGTTGTTACCATTATTGATACTAGTTTCATTACTCTATCGTTACATAGTTATTGGATTGTTGTCTTTATATTTCATCCTTTTTACCTGTGTCTTCGTTGTTTTCTACCTGTCACAGAAAAAAAATTAATATCTAACTATAATTATTAGTATCAATTGTGGTCATAAAATATAAATGGCTTGAAAAGGGAACTTTATAGTACACTTGTTAATAAATGGAAGTATTTTATTTATGGTCATGAAGTAGACAAACATACTGTGTTTACCTGGAAAACTAATCAATCAATTAAGAAGTGAACATCATTTGTGAATGAATTGTTGGATATGGGACATTCAGCTTCAGTAGTTATTACAAAGACTAACAGTCGATTCCATTCACAGTCGGAAATTGTGTTTGTAAGTTGTTTTATTTAGGTATTGATTCTGGTTTAAAAGTATCGTTTATTGACTATTTGAAATTTAAATATTTGTGGTCTAATACACTTAGAACGCATTTGTTTCTAACCTAAACGATGTAAACGATTACACGCGTTGTCGTTTAATCCATTTGTTTCTTACAATTTTGGGTTAATGTTGACATCGTTCACATAAACGATGTACGCGCAAAATAGTCGCGTAATCGTTTATCGTTGAGACTTATAAACAATGTATTTGTTTCTGCATCTGTCGTTTAAATAATTACGAGCACATGTTGTTTTTCGCAAACTCCTGGTCATTCATTTCCCTCACTTTTACCTGTTTGTTTACAGTGCGTGTATGTAATCTATTTCTGTCTCACTACGCGGGGTCGATAAAGGCTATTAAACGATGTATTTGTTTCTAGCAGCTTAACGTTTACTAAACGATAGTCATCGATGACAAAATTTCGGGTTAGAAACAAATGCACTCTTTGCCTTCTGTCTGTTAGTAATACAGAACGAAAAAAAAAATATGACTTGAATATGCTGATTATCTTTTGTTACTTCATTTGTTGCTTTGCATGATGGTCTTATAATCTGATTTAGAATTTAAGTATAGCTTAGAAAGCCTACAGATAGTTCTTTCTTAGTACGTATATATAAAACAAGTATAACAACAACTATAATATTATTTGCACCCTTTGACCCCAAAAATGCTTAAGTCTTAGATGCATGATTTTTTTTATTAGTTGTTAGTGGCTTTGAACTAGCTGTCAGTAACTGCGAGTACTCTCAGATCTGTACTTAGTGTCTTTTTGTTGTTTGGATGTACAAGTACCCGGCCACGTCCACTTGTAATTGTAGTATTTGTATTTTTAGCCATCTGATGAGTTAAGCCTCTTTCAACTGATTTTTATAGTTCGTTCTTATGTTGTACTGTTACACCACTGTCCCAGGTTAGGGGGAGGGTTGGGATCCCGCTAACATGTTTAACCCTGCCACATTCTGTATGTATGTGCCTGTCCCAAGTCAGGAGCCTGTAATTTAGTGGTTGTCGTTTGTTTATGTGTTACATATTTGTTTTGGTTCATTTTTTGTACATTAATTAGGCCGTTAGTTTTCTCGTTTGAATTGTTTTACATTGTCATTTCGGGGCCTTTTATAGCTGACTGTGCGGTATGGGCTTTGCTCATTGTTGAAGGTCGTACGGTGACCTATAGTTGTTAATTTCTGTGTCATTTGGTCTCTTGTGGAGAGTTGTCTCATTGGCAATCATACCACATCTTCTTTTTTATATTCATTGACTCATGTTGGAAACAAAAATAAGCAGGCCTTCCCAATTTATAGCCCAAAGTGTGTGTGTAAAGGAGGGGGTAGGGCTTTATCTAATAGAACATTTACATGTATATTTGCAACTGTTTAATAAATAAAAGATGTTTTTTAACACTTATATATCTTGAATATTAATAGAGACTATATTGGTCTGTAGGGTCTGTTGAGAAGCAATTACACACTAAGGATAATAAAGCCCTAGTTTTGATCCTGTGGAAAAGATTTTTTAAAAAGTTTAACAATGACAGCAGTTTCAAAGGGATGGCATTAGCTATATGGCGTGGACCCTATTTCCAGGTGTGCTATAATTCTCCTGTGATCTGTAAAAATTAGATTAAGTATCAAAATGCATAGATTGAATAACAGGAAAATATACTTAAAAAATAAAGTTATTGAAAATATAATAACAATACTTTTCTGCTACTGGTAATTAATAACCATGGACAATTTATTAGATTTTTTTCCTGAAAGATGTTGAAAATATATCTTTATTATACTGATACAAAGATATGGAGAATCAATAAATTCTTATGACTTGAGAATTAAAGATAGAAAGAAGACATCTATATACTAGAATTAATGTAACATTAGTTCATCTGGTATATATCATATATATATATATATATTCAAGATGTTATGTACTGAGAAGAAAAGTAGTCAATTCATAACAAATACCTGTAACATCTTAAAAACTACTGACAATAACTGATTTGAAATATAAATCTGAATAATTAATAAACTGTTCATACCTGGAAATTGACATATTGGGGAGGGAATTTTATAGATTTGTTCTGACAGTGACTGCCTTTACAATTAAAATTACCTTCGTAACTTATCACTTCTTTCCCTGAGTTAGGCGAAATTTGTGTAGAGGTTGCTTTTTAGCCAATTATTTTCACCTGACATTATATCCATGCTTTGTCCTCATGTTAGGTTTTCGGGATTGAGATGTTCTTCATTAAGTATACATATCAACAATGACTGATATGGAGTTTTGTTGTAGAGGATGTATGTCCATCTATCATATATCATTCACCCCTGACCTTGTGTTCGTTCATTGGTAAGGTCTAGTTTTAAAGTCTAAATATGAAATCTTTACTTGCACCTTTTGATAGTATAAATTCTCATGCTTGTACAATATTTTTATTGTTTAAAACTGGGCTTATTTTATAGATAGTAATTACTTTTGATATATTTAATTCCAAAACTTTGAACATCAAGATTGCTTTAAATGAGTGGTATAGTATGCCTCTTAGCTCTTGGTTCCTCAAAAGTTAACTTATTTTTACGTTGAAAATCAAGCATTATTCTCAGAATTTGATGCTGTTTGGTGTTAAAGAGACAATCAACTCATGCAGTTGTAATTATCTTATGTTAATATTTGTTTACGATTTAAGGGCTTGCTGTTAAAATAAAAATTTAAGAAGATTTTCTTTGTTCTATTGGATTAAAGTCAATATCTACTTTTACTGTCAATTTTTTCATAATTACATTTAGTAAAAAGTATCTGTTATGAAGCAATCAACGGCAGATGGAATTGACATTTATTGCCATTTCACTGCTTAAAAATAATTGAAATGGAACATTGCAAATTTTTTTCTGGTTTTTTGTCTCGCCTGGGAATTTCGAGACATAGGGATTACTATCTAGTGGCAGCAGCGCTTGCAACAGCATAAAAAGCTTTATATTTCAGAAGGTAGAAAACCTGAATGCTTCATTCCTTGTATGCAGATACCTTAAGTTACAAAGTTTCCATCAGTCATATGTCCAGCATCCTTGACATCATCCCTATGATTAAGTGACTGCTTGAAAACTGTAGTTTTTTTTTTTGTCATTTGAAATACTTACTTAGAATGAGTAATAGGATAACTATATTTGGTAAATGGGATCCTTGCAAGGTCTACATGTTGGTCAGACAGGGTTCACCTGAACTCAACCTCATTTCATGGATCAGTTATCAAGGTCAAGTTTTCGTGTTCAAGTCCCTATTTCAGATACTATAAGCAATAGGTCAAATATATTTCGTGCATGGAATGACTGTAAGGTGTACATGTCCAAGTGGCAGAATTTATCTGACCTTGAATTCTTTTTTATGGTTCCTTGGTCAATGTTATATTTTTGTGGTTTGGTCTGTTTCTCAGATACGTTAAGCAATAGAGCAGCTGTATTTGATGCATGGAATGATTGTAAGGTGTCTGTCTGGCAGGTTTCATCTGACCTTGACCTTTTTTCATGGTTTATTGGACAATGTTAAGTTTTTGTGGTGTTATCAAAATACTTTGCACAGACTTTAAAAAGGAGTAATTATAAAACGTGTATTATCTTAACATGAGCGTAAGGGTATATTTTATCAGACATCAAGCTATGATTTTTTATGGTTGCATAAACTGACTATCTATGTCTAATATAATCTTATCAGAACTGATTTTATAGAAATGTTGCACAAAATTAAATTTGTAGTTTTAATTACAGGGTAAAGACAAAGCAAGAATATCAAAATTATGTAAAGATGGTAAACTTCTAGAATATCTGGATGAAAATGTCCAAACTCTTTATGAAGCATTCAGAAATGGAGCACAAGTATCAAGTAGGTAGAAGATTTCCATGATAGATCATTATATTTATATCAATTAATATGGTCTTATATATTCATTCTGTAAGACAAATAAAGTCTTGTTGAACATTAAGGAGGAATAGATATTAAGTACCTAAGAAATTAGGAGTAGATACCTAAGCTAGAAAAAATGTAATTTCTTTGCTCAACTTTAATGATAAACAAAATGACGTGAACTTGACGATATAGATAGTTCTTTTTGTCATTACTCTTGCATTCTTTACCATTGTGAAGGAACTTAATCCTCTATAGCAATAATGTATGAGGGGAGCTAAAAGAAGATTTGAAAATTCAAAAATTTATATATACATGTACATACTTTGTTATGAAGATTACCAGTAACATCCCAATGACCTTCTATTTAAGAAATCATAAAAATGGAGTTTAAAGTCTAAAGCAATATATATTCCTATATGAATAAAAGAGCTGGGGTGTGTGTCAATGAAATAACAACCAGAAGATATCTTGAGGTCAACATACAGTCTCGCCACCATAATATAGCTTTTTTGCACTGATGTGGCGTAAAGCAAACATCACTCAATCAACATAAAGTCTTCAACAATTGTCTATACAAAATGTCATGTTCTAAATTGTCATGAGACTAAAATTAAACAGAAACTTGCCGTCAACACCAAATTCTCCATATAACATAATAGTTAGATAAATCAAAAGACAACCACTGACAATGTTGATGGCATACACTTGTAATGGAGACTACTAGTGTTCTCCCCTTAACCTTTGACCTATAAATTAATTTTATAAAAGGCCTTCCAACACCCATAAACAATTTCTAGAAATAGCCCTAATGAAAAGTATTTAGCATGATTGAAAGTAAAGAATTTAAAAAAAAATAGTGTGTTATTAAATAAGAACAGGTGGTATGTTTATGCTACTGGTACAGATATATTGACATGTTGTTTATAATTAAGTGAAAGGAAGTTTATATTTTTCAGGTAACGGTGCTTGCTATGGATGGAAGCCAAGTAGTAAAGAACCATATAAATGGATATCGTACAATGATGTAAATATATTAGTTGTATTATAAAACTTTATAAGGTTTGGTAGTCTGGTAGTAAACCAATAAATGTCATAAAACTACTATACTACACCATATCTTTCAATTTTTATAAGTGAATAATCCAAAAATAGTCAGTTGTACACAACATGTATATTGTTTAAGAAATAATTTAGGGTATCCTTAAGTTTATGGAAGGCTTGACATAATTTGTTTACCTATACTGTAGCAATAGCATTAACCAACATAATATTTATCTGATTTCATGGGTACCACTGATAAGTTAAAGCTTGAAATTCATAGAATGCTTATAACCATTTTTTTCCTGCATTAATTTATACAGCAATATGGCTGCTATTTATAATATCCCATAAAATATTTATACATTTATTCTTTTGATGATGTTACATTTATACAATTATGCTTTTGATGATGGTAAAGTGAGGATAAACTCTTTTCTGAGTGAATGAAAAATTAGGACAGGATAAACCAACGAAGCAATGGTACTTGATATGTTAATTATAGCACTGGTTGAGTACATTTTGGCTCACCAATGGGCTATTTGATCTGATACCATAGCTAGGCTTTTATCATCAACCCACATCTGGTGTCAACTTTTAAAAAATCTTCTCCTCTGAAAAATCTTTGCCTTGAATAAACTTTTGGGAATCTAATATAAAGTTGGTTTTTTTTTCTTGTACCTGCTTTTTGATTTTCCTTCAATGATGATTTTAATGAACTTTTAATGTAAATGTATATTATATTGAAAACAAAGGATAAATAAAGAGAAACTTGATAAACAAGCAAATTGTGATCTATTACTGTAAATTCAGAAATTATTGTGTACATTTATTATTGCAATTTTTAAAGAATGGACAGAAATGCAAGATTAATTATTGCGATTTCAGAAAAAATTGAAAACAGATATATGTATCATATATTAGAATGTGAGTTCTTACTTATCGATACTGACACAGTCACATTATTTGCATTAATAAAAACCTCGCAATAATTTCGGAATTTACAGTAAATTGTGACAACTTCTTAAAGGTTCATTTCATTTTGGGAAATGTGTGTGGGCTGAGGAAGACTATGTAGATAAGTGTTTTTATTCTGATTTTTGCCATATATAACGAAATGGTACTCTGTTATGGAAGAAACACAATGTAGGCCTTAATTTCAAAATAAATAATTGGTTTCAGGAAGAAAAAGTTACAATAAATATCATTTTTGCTAATTTTGGCCATATGAGAGATTCTGGCTCCGAGGTATTTCGAATTTTGATAATTTGTAGAAAATTCTTTGTTTTGTGATTTAATATTTCATGATCAAATACTTTTTACAATTTAAATCTATTGAAAGTTTGACCTTAATTCTCATTGTTAACAATTGTGTTCCACATACAGAAAAAATGAGCACAGAAAACACAAATTTCCCTGTAGGACTCTCTTTCTTAGATAAGTTGTAAGTTTCATAGTGATAAATCTGATGTGCTAATAGCATCTATAATAAACAAAAAATGAGTGGGTGACCTTTGGAAGGTGTCATAGAATTATAAAATAGCTAATCCAAGAATCCAAATATATATAGAAAAATATTTAACAAGTGACAACTTAAGTGAAAATATTTTTCTATTTTTAAATTTGCTAATTAGTTATTCTTTTTATAACATTGACTTTTAGTGTAAATAAAGAAGAAAATGCCAGGAACCATATCCTTTTTTACATGTTCTCACTACATTTTGATGCAGCATCATTAACAACTATTGTTGTATGACATCAGTGGAGTGAAAGATGTGAAACTATCAGTTTTTCTTTGACTTGGAAATCTTGGCATTTCATTGCAACCAATGTAAAAAGTATATTTATCGACTTAACAGGTGCCTGATAAGAAAGATGTTACATGTATTTTTGGAATAATAAATTAAACGGATATGAAACACAAGATAAAGAAAAGAAATTAGGTTAATTTATTACAGTTGTTTGTTTGAAAATCATTATATAAGTTTGAGATGAAATAAGATATGTTTTTTCTTTAAAATTATTTTAGATAATAAGATAGGTAATAAGAGAAATTGACTTGAGGAAATGATCAGCAGAAATCTTCAATCTACTCTTTCTTTGAGTTATTGCCCTTAAATGATAAGTTTTACCCATATATATTTGTTTTTCTAGGAAACTATATTAAAAAGAAAAACTGTAAAAGCAAAAAAAAAATGAATAGTCAACTCCCTATAGGTGTTATTGTCCCTGAAGGACGATTTTAAAGGGAAATCACACTATTTATACTACTAATAATAATTAATTGAAATTTTGCATGTAGACAGATCATACTTATTAAGATATTTTAGGCGAAAAAAAAATTGGGGTCACCGATGTTGTTTTCGAGATATGACGTCATCAAAACTTAAAGAATCGCGTTATAACGAAATATAGAAATAACGCTCTAAATTGTTAAAAAAAGACAAACTTATTAAAAAAAAAATGTTTAACTGGAATAACAAAAACAGTCAAATGTAACTTGTACCTTATGAACATTTATTTGTCTCGGTTTCCTTATTTTTGAAGGCATTTGAACATTTCCCGCCATTTTTAATTGCTATTTATAATAGATTTTTCTTGAAATAAAAAAAATCTACTAATGTTTTTCCCTTCAAACTTCTGTAAAAGTTGCAGCTTCAGGGAAGATTTTAAAAGCATAAATAAAAAAGGGGGGTCACCGATGTTTTAAATCCGCTAGAACGGAAATAATCTTTATTATTGAATTTTGGCGGGAACTATAACCTTTTAACGTTATAGAACGACGTTGCTGGCATAACAGCATTTCTTGCAACGCTTGGGTTGAATTAAACCTTTTCACTACAAAATAAAATATAATATCATTTTTGAACATTTTTTAAGGTATTTTGATTATTCATTGATATCTTTATCAATCTATCGAATCGTTAAACATTTATTATAAAGTAATTGTCAAAGTTGAAGTCATCTCATTTTTTTAATTGCATTTGTTGTATGGGGAAAACGAATGTTTGCCTCATGCCGTATTATAGAAATAATTTTCGGCTTCCAGATAAAGAATCTTCTACCTCGGAAGCCTGAGGGTATCCGGGCTGAAAAGTAACACGTTCCTTTTAGACTGCAGGCAGAAAAATTTCGTTACCATAATTTCACTAGCTTGTCCATTCGCACCGGGAAGATAAAACCTGAAATGCCGTGTTAAAAATGCCACAAACTCAGCACGTTAAAAGAAACCTATTTTCGGTAGGAATTTAAAATTGGTTCCGTAATTACACAACGCTTCATAATTTATTCGAACTGTGGAAACCAATTTTTTTTCTGAGTTCTATCATCCCGCACCCATTTTTCATACATCGTTTCATGTTCATTGTACATAATATGTTCAATGTTCATCGCCTGTGTATTAAAACTTTATGTATTACGTATATTCTATTACCGTTCGATTAATCGCTCAACGCTGGTATGTTATGAGAAATACAATGCATCTGATAATTTAGAGTTAATTGACAATAAAATACACATCGCCATATTGATATCAGGAACATATAATGTTCCCAGTTGATATGTAATTCAAAAAATCTTTTAATTTGTAATAAACGGATCTAGTTTTTTTTTCTTGTTCTGCTACATCTATCCGTGTTTCTGTGGACATGTCGATATATTTTATCTAACTCTAGTTTTTTGTCGAGCCTTCGCGAGACATAGCGATCCTACATTCCGTCGTCGGCGTCGTCGTTGTCGTCGTCGTTGGCGGCGGCGTCCACAAATATTCACTCTGTGGTTAAAGTTTTTGAAGTTTTAATAACTTTCTTAAACTATCCTGGATTTCTACCAAACTTGGACAGAAGCTTGTTTATGATCATAAGATAGTATCCAGAAGTAAATTTTGCAAAAATGAAATTCCTGTTTTTCCATATTTGACATATAAATGGACTTAGTTTTTCTGCCAGGAAACAATACATTTACTCTGTGGTTAGAGTTTTTAAATTTTTAATAACTTTCTTAAACTATCCTGGATTTGTACCAATCTTGGTCAGAAGCTTGTTTATGATCATATTAAGAAAGTATCCAGAAGTAAATTTTGTAAAAAAAAAAATCTTTTTTTCCCGTATTTTACTTATAAATTGACTTAGTTTTTCTGCCAGGAAACAATACATTCACTCTGTGGTTAAAGTTTTTAAGATTTCAATAACTTTCTTAAACTATCCTGGATATGTACCAAACTTGGACAGAAGCTTGTTTATGATCAAAAGCTTGTATCTCGAAGGAAATTTGTCAAAATTTTGTACCTATTTATCCGTATTTTACTTATAAATGGACTTAGTTTTTCTTCCAGTTAACATTACATACAGTATGCAGTTAAAGTTTTTTAAACATTTATTAGATCCATAAACTATCCTAGATTTATACCAAACTTGGACAGAAGCTTCTTACAATCAAAAGATAGTATCGAGAGGAATATTTTTATTGATTTTTTTCCTCATTTTTGTTGAGCCTGCGATTAACAGCAAAAGTAGGCGAGACACTGGGTTCCGTGGAACCCTTACGAGATTTTTTTTCAGATGACAAATGAGAGTGTGGATAACCTTTGATGTAGAATAAGAGTTCGAGTTCCAGCTAAATTTAGAGTTAAAGTTCCAGTTTTATTTTTAGTTCGAATGTTAATTCGAGTAAGAGTTCTAGTTAAAGCTCGAGTTCCACTTAGAAACTTCCGAGTTATACTGTAAGATAGAATACATTCTGGTAAGAGTTTAAATTTTGAGATCTGAGATCCGATGAAATTAAAACAAAGATTGCAGTTTCTATTTTCTGTTGGTGCACCTCTCTTTCTTGAATTGTATATTCTTTTATCACATTTATGTTTCAGTATGGTATAGCCTATATACTTTTTTTGCCAAAACTGATTAATGATAGGTAATTTGGAAATAACTGATTGATTGTGTGTGCCACTTTCAGCACTCTGCTATATCATGTTGGCCATTTTTTTTTAAAGAACCAAGGTATCAAGAGTAAATCAGCTACCTTTGTATTAAACAAATGGTTGACCTTTACAGTCATGATCGGAATCTGACAATCTCCCTATATCACTGTTTGTTGACATGCAAGTGATCACATTGAGTGATCTGAACACGAACCTACATCTAAACTACTAGTTTCTGTTTTGTTTTTGTTTTTGTTTTTGTTTTCGTTTTTTTCTTGATTTTTGCAAAACTTTCAGTGGCAAATATTACATGAAAATCAGCACAAATTTTTTTTCTATATGAGATGAATACTCTTTCACAAGACGGACCATAATGTGATGGTTACAGATTAGCACTCTGAAAGACATGTTACTCTACATAAATACATGTGTGTGTGTTAAATATTTCTCTTGTTGGAGTCTTGTAAAGCCAAATATACAGTGTGGATTTTTTGTTGTTGTTGTAGGCAGTACGGTCATCAATAGTCCAAAAATAACTAGGCATAGTGTTTGATATTCCCAGATTGCTCTGACGTCTAGCGACCTTATTTTTTAACTTGCTGGTCGTACAGTTCGCTATAATTGACAGTTTGAAGAAATACTACAAAATATGATTTTTTTTGTGCCCTAATTATGTAAGCCTGTACAAAGCATTAAAGGAAGATTGAGTATAATGTACTATATAATACGGTGCTAAATTTTCTTTGATTTCGACAGACAGCAACCGATGTAAAATTATGTATATGCTTCTTTTACAGTGATGTTTAACTGGCGTTATTCTTATATAACGTTTGATATTTCAACAAATATGATTACTCTACGAATCACTCGTGTTCATGTGTTTGTGCCCCCATACCCCCTCCCCCCCCCCCCCCCCCCAAAAAAAAAAAGAAACAGAGAGAGAGAGAGAGAGAGAGGCGTTTGACACCAAAGGAACATCGAAACTCATTGTTCTTATTTACATCCCTCTGTTGGACAGAAAACTAGAAATTCCGGAAGCTGTACGCTTACATGCTGTTACTCTTGGTATATTGTTATTTTTCCAGTATATTCCCACATACCGCATCGCGACGATACGCTGCCAACAGTTGGGTTACACTAATGACAGGACAATTGTCCGTATTGACCGGATGAGATATAAATAGTCAGAACTTTTTTGTTATTTGATAGATTATTTTAATATTTGAAGACCTTAGAAATATTAGACTATATTTTATGAATATTTAACAAAAAAAAGTTGACCGGACGGATTTCACACTCACTGATGAACGCTTTACAATATTGAACTGATCGACAAAAAGTGTTACTAGTAATATCTCTTTTGTTTTACAATATTTTTTCATACAACTAGGAAATCTGCGAGATTAATAGTTATCTTATATGAAAATTTAAACTTCATAGTAAAACAAAATGTTTTTCTAAAAAAAAAAGTTGACCGGACGGATTTCACATTCGCCGATGTACTCTTTGATTATACTGAAATGATCGACCAAAAAGTGTTATAAATATCTCTTTTGTTTTTAAATATTTTTTTTCTTCGTGAAACTAAGAAATCTGCGAGATCAATAAATATGTTAATATAAGAAAATATAAACTTTACAGTAAATAAAAGAAGTTTTTCTACAAAAAAAAATTGAGCTGACGGATTTCGCTACAAATAATAAACACCAGATCAACAAAAAATGTTGATATTTCTCATATCTAACAATATTTTTCGGTGAAATTAATAAACCTTTAAGTAAAATAATTGTATAAATGGTATTGTATGTAAATACTAACTCAATAATATTAATAATAATAATAATATCTTTATTCAAAGAGAGTAACGCATTTGAATTAAACCCAATCGTAAGGTAATTCAAGACCATATCAAGACCACTTTCGGCTATTTTTTTGCCATACATTTTGTCCGTTTCGAGTAGCATTTTCATTTTTTGCACTTAAATCAAAACGTCATTTGCTTTCTCTTGCTTTAGTGAACGTCCCTTTGAGCGGGCCGCCATTTTAGAAATTAGCAACCTTTACGACGGACTCGAAACGGCGACGTCATAATACGGTCACGACACTATAGCGGCGCCGATAGCGATGCGTATAAACAATAGTGTGATTTCCCTTTAAATCCTTTTGTGATTTTTTTGTCTTTGAGAATTATTAAATAAGTTGGCAGGAAATTTCATTTAATTATAGTACATGTAATAATAATAATAATCATTTTTGTAATTTAGTTGACAGTGCCTAAAGTTCTTGCAGCTAATAATTTAATATATAAAGTAGACCACTTGCACATACAGATATGAAATAGACTACTTATGTATATGGTTTTATAGATAACCTTTTCCTCAAATGTATATAAATTGACACCCTGCTAAGATTAAATGTATATAAATTGACACCCTGCTAAGATTAAATGTATATAAATTGACACCCTGCTAAGATTATGTAGGGTAAACCACTTTCTCAAATGTATATAATTTCAAAAATACATTTCAACTGACTGTATACTAAATCAAATTCGTTTCAGGTTTTGAATAGGGCAGCAAGTATTGGTGCAGGATTAATAGAAAATAACCAGACAGCTACAAATTCTACAAGAATAGGGTTATATTCACAAAACAGAGTTGAGGTAAATCCTTGATACTCGTATGTAGTTAAAAAATTAGCACTTAGATAGAAATGATGTGAACATATAACTAACTAGAAAGCAGTTTTGATATGATTTATAGAAATAATCAAAAATATTTCATTTTACAGAATCATGCTTTTCTCATTTGACTAGATATGCTATTTTCTTTTTGTCTCCTCTCTACGAAGTCACATGCATCAACAGTGTACAAATGTGATTAGGTCACTTTCAGGGGAACCTCTAGTGGTAAGTCAATGATATTTGGTATGCTGTTATATTAGCAATGGCACAATCATTTCAATGAAGATAATTTGGCACACACCCTCAGTCATGGTCTATTGATGTTTTGAAAATTTTGCATAGTTCACATGTTTAAGTTTATATTTAGGTCAGTTTAAGATGAACCACAAAAGATAATTCAATGATATTTGGTATGCAGTTGTATTAGCATTGGCAGTTCTCATTTCAATGGAGATTATTTTGTCTTGCACTTCAGTCATGGTTCATTGACTTTTTGTATTGCCCTTTTTATCCCAGAGGGCCAGGTGAGCTTTTCTCATCACTTGGCGTCCGTCGTTGTCGTCGTTAACTTTTTATACGACCGCAAAAAAATTTTGTGGTCGTATATTGGTATGACCTTGGTGTTGTCGTCATCCGAAGACACATTGGTTTTCGCACTCTAACTTTAGTTAAAGTGAATGGATCTCTATGAAATTTTACCATAAGGTTCAATACCACAAAAGGAAGGTTGGGATTGTTTTTTGGGGGTTATGGTACCAACAGTTAAGGAATTAGGGGCCAAAAAGGGGCCAAAAATAAGCATTTTCTAGTTTCCAGACAATAACTGTGGAATGGTGTATGGATCTCTCTGAAATTATACCACAAGTTTCCATACCACAAAGGGATGGTCAGAATTTGCTTTGGGGGGTTATGGCTCAAACCGTTTAGGAATTAGGGGCAAAAAAGTGGGAAAAACTAGGTTGTCCTGGTTAATGGACAAATACTTTAGTACAAAACATAATTTAAAGCAGTGTAAGGGAGATAAATCAAATACATCATTGAAATTACCTCCCTTACACTGCTTTTAAATTATGTATAAAGTAATGGTTAATGAACAATTAAGATTATTTAAAACAGTGTAAGGGAGGTAATCCAAATACAACGTTTTGGTTACTTCCCTTACACTGCTTTTAAATTATGTTTAAAGAAATGCATATTTATAAAGGAAGACCAGTAAAAATATCTGCAAATGTTACATCTTTTTTTTAAACAAAAAATCCATATGAAAGATTTGACACTATATTTTAAATTCTATTATAAAATAGATTAAGTTAGCACTATGGTAAATTTAAATGGGTAATTATGGTTGCAAATTCCATTGGAAATTTGAATTGAGATTATGACCATATCTTGAGGGAAAGAATTTTTTGGGGGAAAAAAGGGGGGGGGATAAAAAGAAATTGTGGGGGGGTCATTTTTTTCTCATTTCAGATTTCAGAAATTAAAAAGAATTATTCTTCAAATATTATTTTTTTTTCAAATTTTAAATATTGAAAAATTTCAAGAAGTAATCTTTAATTGCACAGTATGGCGCATTAGATTTGTAAAATCTTTGACCACATTTATTTATTTGTTATGCCGAATCTAACCGTGTATTTAGATTTTTAATTTTGGGTCCAGTTTTCAAATTGGTCTACATTAAGGTCCAAAGGGTCCAAAATTAAACTTTGTTTGATTTTAACAAAAATTGAATATATGGGGTTCTTTGATATGCTGAATCTAAACATGTATTTAGATTTTTGATTTTTGGCCCAGTTTTCAAGTTGGTCCAAATTGGGGTCAAAATTAAACTTTGTTTGATTTCAACAAAAATTGAATATATGGGGTTCTTTGATATGCTGAATCTAACCATGTATTTTGATTTTGGACATTGGACCATAATAGGTAAATTAAAAAAATTCAAATTCTTAGACCACATTCTTTCTGTGTCAGAAACAGATTTACTAAGTATAGCGCAACAGCATAGTGTATTGCACAACAGCAAGAAATCTTTAATTGAATATAAATTCAATTCATATAACCAATTGCAAGTTCTTTGACTACATTTATTCAGAAACCTATAATATGTCAAATATTTTATTACAATCCAAATTCAGACCTGTATCAAGCTTGAATGTTGTGTCCATACTTGCCCCAACTGTTCAGGGTTCGACCTCTGCGGTCGTATCAAGCTCCGCCCAGCGAAGCATTTTATTACATTTTGAACTTCTTCTAGAGAACCACTGAATGGAATGAAACCAAACATGGCATGAATGTTCCTTATGAGGTTGCTGACCAAGTGTTATTACTTTGTAGCAAATTCATCAACCAAGATGGCTGCCAACGGGGGACTTAGTTTAACAAAGGACCCTTATGGAAAATATATACAAATGTCTTCTTCTAGAAAACCGCTTAATGGATTGAAACCAAAAGTGGTATGAATTTGCTGACCAAGTGTTGTTACTATGTAGCTGATTTGTCATTGTCCCTATAAAGTAATTTTCTACAATTTCAATGAATTTATTGGTAATTTCTGTAAACTTTACAAAAGTCTTCTGCTTTTGATTAAATTACAGGGCCAATATTAAACCAAATTTGGCCTCAATCATTATTAGGGTATCTGATATGATTTTAATCTAATTTTACATGATTTCCAAAACCAAAGTAGAATCAGGTGAGCGACACAGGCTCTTGAGAGCCTCTAGTTATTTCAACATTTGCATGATACTACCAAAATTACATACAGGAAAGATGTTTAAATCCCAGTATGGTATTGCGGAACAAGCATATTATTGTTGATTATTTAATTTTCAAAATGGTATTGTGGAACAAGCATGTAATAATGTTTGATTGTTTTATTTTCAGTATGGTATTGTGGAACAAGCATGTTATACTTATTCTATGGCATTGGTTCCATTATATGACACATTAGGACCAGAAGCATGTACATATATCATCAATCAAGGTTAGGTTTTATTTTGTATACATCAATATTTTTACAATTATATTTGTATTGGGAACAGAAAAAGCTTATGAATAAAAAGAAATGTAGGGTATAAACCCAGAGAGACAGCAACTTATCAACACCAAAATTAAAAAGAAATTTAGATGTCAACCTACAGACTTCAACGTAACACAAGTGTCTTTACATTATGCCAAGCTCTAAATTGTTCAGGGTCTAAACAAGTTGTAATAAATTAACAGAGACTATCAAAGGTCAGTTACCTATACCAAATTCCCTAAGGGACAAAAAACTAAGATATAACAAAAGACAACCACTTAGGTCAACATTAAATGGCACAATGCTTTAAATAGAATATAGAGTTATATGCGTATCCTTTTTTCACACTTCAGTAAATTACTTTCATTTACACTCAATTGTTATTTGCTTTATCAAGAATACATATTGCAATGATCTTTAGAGATGATATATTTGACTGGCCTTAAATCATTAAAGTACATTCACAATTAGGGAAAATTCATCTTGTCTTCTTTCAAGTGTTGACTTATGGCTGCAAGATTTAGTTCACACTACCAATGATCTTATACACATTAATTTGCATCTAGATGTTGCAGAAGGTCAATTAAAGCAAGTCATTTTATATTCTTTGTGTTTGTGGAGGAAGGCAGGTGAACATTGATCTGAATCATTGTATTGAACATTTTTACTAGTATGGCTTGATTATACACAGTTACTAGTATGACTTGATTATACACAGTTACTAGTATGGCTTGATTATACACAGTTACTAGTATGGCTTGATTATACACAGTTACTAGTATGGCTTGATTATACACTGTTACTAGTATGGCTTGATTATACACAGTTACTAGTATGGCTTGATTATACACTGTTACTAGTATGGCTTGATTATACACAGTTACTAGTATGGCTTGATTATACACAGTTACTAGTATGGCTTGATTATACACAGTTACTAGTATGGCTTGATTATACACTGTTACTAGTATGGCTTGATTATACACAGTTACTAGTATGGCTTGATTATACACAGTTACTAGTATGGCTTGATTATACACAGTTACTAGTATGACTTGATTATACACAGTTACTAGTATGACTTGATTATACACAGTTACTAGTATGACTTGATTATACACAGTTACTAGTATGACTTGATTATACACAGAGTGGCTGAGCCGCTGCTGCATAATTGACTTTCAAAAATTCATTACACTTGATTAAAAGAAATATGAGTAATATCATCAAATAAATGGCAACCCAACATCAGAATAAAATAAAAAATGACTGAAATTTATATTGTAATCATTCCTTATAATAAAAGATAATAGCAGGAGGTGGTGGAATTGATCCCCTGCTTGGTCATATCAAAGATTTATGTGTTCAGGTAGGGTGACATGTCATCCTTGTGAACTAGCATGTTGGTCTAGTACAAAGCAGGGTTTATACTGATACTACATAAACATAGTCTCGTCCTGCATAAATATGTGTTTAATTTGCTACTGGACATAAACAGTCATCTATCATCAACATACCTTATAATACAGTCATTTCAGTATATTATTATATATTTCAGCCAGCATTAGCCTAGTTATCTGTGATACATGTAAGAAGGTTCAGGCCATGTTTGATAAATATGAGGAAACACCAAACCTGAAAACTATTGTAATGATGGAAGAAATGTCTCTTGAATTACAGACTAAAGCACAACAGTTAGGGATCAAACTCGTATCATTTAGTGATTTGGAGGTTAGTTTGACACCAAATATACAAACCTGTATCATTAAATGATTTTGATATTTAGGCTCTTATGATCAAGTAAGGTCAACAGTTAGTATTTTAGCTTCTATTATCTTATTCTATTGATCATGGGCAGAGAATGTTATTCTTTTTTTTATAGTTTATAACATGTAGACTTGACACAGGGAAAGGGGTCTTCTCTTGCATGAAAGTATATGTAGAAGTGCCGCTGGAATTGGTCCCTTTTTATTTTGATATGTCAAATATATCAGTGGAGCATAATTTCTCTGAGGAAATATAAGTTAATCATAAATTTTCATCTTTCATTAGTTAGATGTGTGTTAATATGGTGCACCACTCCTTGTATCTAATGAGTATGGATGTTCCCATATTTTTCTGCTTAGTCTTTTATTGACACAGGTTTAATCTTCCTTTTTCATCAAAATAAAGATGTCACAGATTGTATAATCTATAACTCAGAAATATCTGAATGGGTTATGATTTTCCCATGAAATATAATTATAGGTAGGATTATCTCTAAATTTTAATATATGAATGGGGGGTGTTTATTAAAACCCCAGCTGCACGACTACCAAAAATCATATGTGGAGACCCCCCCCAACCCTCTCTTGTGACTGTTTACACAAGGCTTTAGAATATGTGGCTAAAATTGGTCACACTATATTATTTGATTTTAAATTGCATGTTAGTGAAAATTAGTAAATGTTTTTATGATACAATATTATTGAGGTTGTCAAAAATATTTAAATTGTTCATGAGAGAGTTGGTAGCAAAATTGGAATCAACAACTTTGTTATAATAATATTAAGGACAAGGAAATGACTTTTCATATTTTAGTGAGAGAAACACGAGAAGCAGGATATACAATAGAGAGAGAGCAACCCATCAACATGATAAAAGCAAAAAGACATCCAGAAGTCATACAGTCTTCCAAAAATGTACAATTGTTCATAACCTTATGCCAAACTAAATTTTCCAGAGTGTAGTTAGGAATTTTAATAGAATAGAGACTAATAAAGATAAGCCATGAACAGCAAAGTCTTTAAAGGACAAGATACAGTGATATAAATATTTATGACTGCCATATTAATATGTGGTACTTGAACTTGTTTTTATGCCCCACCTATGGGCATTATGTTTTTTTTCTGTCTGTGCGTCCATTCGTCCGTTTGTCCGTCCGTCCATCTGTCCCGCTTCAGGTTAAAGTTTTTGGTCAAGGTAGTTTTTGATGAAGTTGAAGTCCAATCAACTTGAAACTTAGTGCACATGTTCCCTATGATATGATCTATCTGATTTTAATTCCAAATTAGAGTTTTTACCCCAATTTGACGGTCCACTGAACATAGAAAATGATAGTGCTAGTGGGGCATCCGTGTACTACGGACACATTCTTGTTTACTAATTTTTCACTTAACAAAACAAACCATAAAAATCAGCCAATGCAGTAAAATCCAATTTGGTTAAAGTACTTTATCAAAAATATCAGTATGACAGAAATTGAACTATAAGAAATTAAAAATACTACAAATACTGTAAAGGATTACATCATCTTAACATTGATATTTTTAGGAACAGGGTGAAAAATCTCCCAAGGAACCAAAGGTAATTGTATTATGTATATTTATGATAAAAGACATTTTAGATTTCTTTCCTTCCAAATTAAAGACTAATTAAACTATTATGTGGGTTTGAATTCCTGTGGAAAAGCTTCACTTAATATTAAGTCACAGTAGACTTTTGATTAAAACATACTAAAAGAAACATTTTGAACAGTAAAATTGACACTTATATAATTTTAAGTGCATCAAAATGACCAAAGTCTGTTTATACATAATTCTTATAATGACACACCTATAACCATAACATGCATTTAATACAATTTTCTAATAAATATATTATACAACATTTGGTCTTTTTTACAGCCTGCGAAGCCAGATGATATATGTGTTGTATGTTATACAAGTGGTACTACAGGTGGGTAAAAAAACTTTTTTTAAACTTTGATACATAACATGAACAGTAAACAGATAATCGACAGAGTAAAACAAAAGTTAAAGATTATAAGGTTTATGGACGTGATATAGAAACAATGTGGCTGGTTTAAAAGGTTTCAAATAAATATCTTATAGTGACCTATGACCACACACCTTCTGCTCATGATGTGTATAGTGTTTTGTCTTGCCTGTGATGAACATATTATAAAGGTGGAAACAATACCATGGAGACAATTAAAAACTATAATTGAAAGAAAAACAGACAACAACATGGCCAGAAGAAAAACAACAAAAATACGGCACTACACAGAAAACAAAAGAATGAGAAACAGGAATTCCTTATTATGAGACAAAGGTATTACTATATTGGTGTCAATAGTCCTCAAGAACAAATATTTATGATTAATATAATTATTGATATTTGAAAAACAGTTGCATAAGCATATGAATAGTATAGTAAATCTTTGTGATCATTCAAAATGTGTATTGGCGATATAGATACTTAGTGTTCTTCAATTTTAAATACACTACAGGGACTTAATAATGATGTAAGAATTTAATGTTATTGATTTGATATACTAATAGATGTTTATAAGATATAATTTTGATTTTTTTTTAATTTTTCAAATTTAGGTTTACCTAAAGGAGCAATGTTAACACATAAAGGAACCATTTCTACAGTTTGTTCAGCATTTGTCACCCTTGTGAGTATTTCATCAGGAATATTTCTGTTATTATAAACCTATGAAATCAGTGTAATTATTAAAGAAACATGGCTATGAAGGAGACCTTTTGGAAAATTATGTGCACCTTTGTTATCTAATGTTTTCAATGGAACCCTTATGACTAGTACATGTATTGTAAATGAGTTCTCATACAACTATGTAATCATTCACAATATGTTCTATGGTTCTCTCCAGTCACTCTGGCTGCCTCAAACTAAAACTGGCAGCCATGATACAGCCTAGAGTGCTGAAAGTGGCGTTAGACACCAACATTGAATCAATCAATCATTCAGTCAAAATATGCTCTAGTGATAAGGTGATCTAGATACTTAGGGTTCTTCAATTTAAATGTACACTACAGGGACTAAGATATGTTCAAAAATCTATAGTGGTCAAATCATTGGTGTTCTAGAAATAAATGAAAGTCCTTGTATTTATATGCCTTTTAATACCAGAAACAGTTAATTATCAAACTTGTTAATCATTTGTAAGCAAAGCTAAAGTGCATAGATGTAACATTTTTGAAATGTGTTGTAAGACTGAATATTTCCTTATTTTAACCTAAAACTTGGGTAAATGACTTATCTTTATATTGTCTCTTTCTACAAGAAATCCCAACAAAAAATAAAATGGCATGCCCCCTTCAAATAGGTACACCTTGAAATTATAATCATTTTACATTAATAATTCAGTGTTTTCGACTACAACACAATGCTTTTTTGCTTTTTGTAGGAAAATGGTGGTGTTACACTTGGTCCAGAAGATGTTTTAATTTCATATCTACCATTAGCCCATTCATATGAAAGGTTATTAGAGGTAGGTCTTCATTGTAAAGGTAGAATATTCGGTGTTAAAGTGTATTCATTGTACATTGTAGTAACATTCATAATTTGTACGGCAAGCAAATCACTGTTGTATAAGGATAACAAAGCTAGATTTCAATATTGAATATTTTTCAGACAATGAAACTGGTTTGTTTTAATTGTTTCTATTCCAAATGAAAAATACTGGTAATTAAAGAATGAAAGACATTTAATAGACTAACAAAACATCGTTTAGATGAGCTTTTTTTCTTCCCTAGGTAACAGTGACAATGTCTGGTGGCAGAATAGGATTTTTCCAAGGTGATGTGAAATTATTGATGGATGATATCAAAGAACTAGGACCAACATTATTTCCATCTGTACCCAGATTACTCAATCGATTTTATGATAAGGTAATATTCCCATCTGTACCCAGATTACTCAATCAATTCTATGATAAAGTAATATTTCCATCTGTACCCAGATTACTCAATAGATTCTATGATAAGATAATATATCCATCTGTACCCAGATTCCTCAATTGATTCTATGATAAGGTAATATTTCCATTTGTACCCAGATTACTCAAATCGATTTTATGATAAGGTAATATTTTCATCTGTACCCAGATTACTCAATCAATTCTATGATAAGGTAAATATTTACATCTGTACCCAGATTACTCAATAGATTCTATGATAAGATAATATTCCCATCTGTACCCAGATTACTCAATCGATTTTATGATAAGGTAATATTTCCATTTGTACCCAGATTACTCAATCGATTCTATGATAAGGTAATATTCCCATCTGTACCCAGATTACTCAATCGATTCTATGATAAGGTAATATTTCCATCTGTACCCAGATTACTCAATCGATTCTATGACAAGATAATATTTCCATCTGTACCCAGATTACTCAATTGATTCTATAATAAGGTAATATTTCCATCTGTTCCCAGATTACTCAATGGATTGTAACCAGATTACTCAATCGATTCTATGATAAGGTAATATTTTCATCTGTACCCAGATTACTCAATCGATTTTATGATAAGGTAATATTTTCATCTGTACCCAGATTACTCAATCGATTCTATGATAAGGTAAATATTTCCATCTGTACCCAGATAACTCAATAGATTCTATGATAAGATAATATTCCTATCTGTACCCAGATTACTCAATAGATTCTATGATAAGGTAATATTTCCATCTATACCCAGATTACTCAAAAGATTCTATTATAATGTAATATTTCCATCTGTACCCAGGTTACTCAATCGATTCTATGATAAGGTAATATTTCCATCTGTACCCAGATTACTCAATAGATTTTATGATAAGGTAATATTTCCATCTGTACCCAGGTTACTCAATCGATTCTATGATAAGGTAATATTTCCATCTGTACCCAGATTACTCAATCGATTCTATGATAAGGTAATATTTCCATCTGTACCCAGATTACTCAATTGATTCTATGATAAGGTAACATTTCCATCTGTACCCAGATTACTCAATCGATTCTATGATAAGGTAACATTTCCATCTGTACCCAGATTACTCAATCGATTCTATGATAAGGTAATATTTCCATCTGTACCCAGATTACTCAGTCGATTCTATGGTAAGGTAATATTTCCATCTGTACCCAGATTACTCAATCGATTCTAGGATAAGGTAACATTTCCATCTGTACCCAGATTACTCAATCGATTCTAGGATAAGGTAACATTTCCATCTGTACCCAGATTACTCAATCGATTCTATGATAAGGTAATATTTCCATCTGTACCCAGATTACTCAGTCGATTCTATGGTAAGGTAATATTTCCATCTGTACCCAGATTACTCAATTGATTCTATGATAAGGTAAAACTTCTTGTATTTTGTTTATTGTTTTGATTGAGTTAACCATGTCAAAATAGATATCTGAATTTACAGCCGATTTCAATGAGTGTGTAGGAAAAGGTAATATCTTTTGGTTAGCTTGCTTGCTAGCTGAACCGTGAAGTCATTATTAGGTTAGGTAAACTACCCTCCTTTTTGAGTAGACTAGTCCGACAGACAGATAGAATTGGTTACCTGTGGGACTAGTCTACTCATAAAGGAGGGTAGTTTACCTTACCTAATAATGACTTTACGGTTCAGCTAGCAAGCAAGCTAACCAAAGATATTACCTTTTCCTACACACTCATTGAAATCGGCTGTAACATAACACAAGCAATAGTGATAATGATAAACTTTACTATTGCTTCAAGCATGCAGGATATTTTTACCCTGTTTTATACTTATTCTTTTTAACCACTCTTTGCTTCTTAATGGTTATCAGTCCATAAAGTTATAAAATGAATGACACATTGATTTTTTTAATCTGGATGGAGAACAACATGGCTGGGTTATAATTTATTTTTTCACTTAATTGTATGCTCTGCTTTTTTGTGAAAGATGTCTGGTATTTAGATTTTAATGATTATTGTTTGATTACTGCTTGAAATGGAAAAATTGTTGTACCTGTACTTTAGGGAGGTAGGGAAAATTTCTAGTTAAAGCAAAATTTAAAACATTAAAACTTGGTCACAAGGAATTTATTTTTATAAGGTAGACATTTAGAAATGTCAAACTGATAATTATTTTATGATTTGCATAATAAAGAATCTTTCTTTGATTGGTAGCAAGTGATTCTGGTATAGAGTTTTATGCTGTTATTTTTATGCCCCCGCTGTATCGGGCATTATACACAATGCTTATTACCACAAAACACAGATCAAGTTTGAATGTTGGTGGCGTTACTTTAACTGTTCTAGAGTTATGCCCCTTTACAAATGGAAAAATTGCTGAATTTTTCATTTCCGTTCTCTAACTTAAGTTTGCCTCAACCAAATGTTATGAAACTTATACACAATGCTTATTACCACCTAATACAGATAATTTTGAATTTTGGTGGCGTCATTTTAACAGTTCCAGAGTTGATGCAAAAATTACACAATACTTATTACCACAAAACTCAGATCAAGTACAAATTTGGGTAGTGTCACTTTTACTGTTATTCAGTTATGTCCCTTTATAACTTTATATGATATGCATGTGGGGGCATCATCTGTGTCCCATGGACACATTCCCCATTTATTTTTTTTTTAAATCTTCCTCATCTGACTATCCAGACAGATGTAAGCAATACTGTGACTTGAATTAAAAAATATAAAACCATTAATTTGTAGATGTATCATAAAATTCCAGTGACTTAGGTTTTGTGACAATTTATCAGTTTTGATTTTGTTTATATTTCTAGGTTGTAGCTGGTGTGAATGAAAGTGCAATTAAAAAAATGATGTTTGATATGGGAATGAAAAGTAAACAGAAAGAACTTCAAAAGTAAGTTAATGTTTATAATTAAAATCTTGAATCTAAAGATTAGACACTAATTTCATAGATATAATTCTTAGTTGGAAAAATATTCAATTTACAAATAGGATAAAAAGAGAGGGTTATGAACTGTTTACTGTTGGGCAATGAGTGTCATCCCTGTCTGTCCGTCTGTCCATCTTTCATTTATCATTTTACATCAGTAACATAAGATTAGCCAGTTAATATATTTTGCATATCTATTAATATATTTATACCTTTCATCATGCCATATTTTTAGTTTTCCATTTTAAGAAAGACTATTCCAGTTATACAAGTGTTATTTCTATTGTATGTTTTAGAAACTAAAAGAACAATGTTTGCATATAAGAATAAGCAATGACTAAATCTTGGATTTTTTTTTATTTCAAAATGAAAATATCAGAAAGGCAAGGACAGTGATTAAAAGACATCAATGTCATGTTTACATTACTTGACACCATTTGGGGATGATAATGGAAAGTGGTTCTGTTTAAAAAAAGAATAGTCATAAGATGAATTTATTCTTAAGAAAAAACAATATTTTTAGTACAATGTATTACAGTTATAATATTGGAAATTAAAAAGTTGTTCTATTTAAAAATTTCAGTCTTTTGCTGAATTTTTTATTAATTTTCCTATATTGAGTTGTATTTTTTTTACGGTTTCTATTTTGATTCTACTGCAACATTGACACATAATTTTTTTTTTTTTATTTTTTATGCACTGTAAAGCGCTTAGAGTAAATTTTTATTTAGATAAGCGCTATATAAGCACTGTAAATAATAATAATAATAATAAATTTTTTTTAAAAAACCCAATATTTTTAATATAACAATTACTTAAATACAAAATTTACATTGTATTATTGTGTAACTTTATGCTTTATTATTTTTACCAGACATATAATAAGAAATGACAGCATTTACGACAAGTTTGTATTTAAGAAGATCCAACAAGGTTTAGGAGGAAGAGTTAGACTTATTACTACAGGTTCAGCTCCTCTGTCAGCAACAGTATTAGAATTCCTAAGATGCTGTGTTGGTTGTCCGGTAAGTGCTCTTTTAGTGTAGGACAATGATAGAATTTCTACGGGCTGTGCATTAGGTGCCATTATATTGCTCTTTATTAAGTCTCCCAAACGAAGTTTGGGAAGACTTATTGTTTTTGCTCAGTTCTTATTATTATTATTATTCTTCTTCTTCTTCTTCTTCTTCCGCCGCTTTTAAATTTGAACTTGTCCGCACCCGTTCTCCAAAACCGCTTGTCGGATTAACTTAGGGTTTCACAATATGTTAGACTAACATGTCTAGTGGTGCAATCAGGGTTTTGTTTTTGCAATGGGGTTTATAAAGGGGTACTTTGAGGGGCAAAAAGAAAAGAGGGTTTTACTATAGAACCCTATGGGATTTTATTTTTTTAAATTTTCAAATGATTATTAGTTGAAAACCGTTCGTGATAGACACAAACTTTTTAATTGAAAATGTTCTAAATGATAAAGCCCATTAAATGAAATACAGGGTTAGTCCCCAGGGGTCACCCCCACCCCCTGCCATTTGAGAAAGTTCTAATACCTTGTAAGTGGTCAAGATCCCCACCCCTAAACCATATATATTCTAGTTTGTCATGCTAAGATGGTTTGAATGATATACAGGGTTAGTCCCCAGGGGTCATCCCCACCCCCTGTCATTTGAGAAAGTTCTAATATCTTGTAAATGGTCGAGATCCCCACCCCTAAACCATATATATTCTGGTTTGTCATGATAAAGCACATCAAATGTAATACAGGGTTAGTCCCCAGGGGTCACCCCCACCCCCTGCCATTTAAGAAAGTTCTAATATCTTCTAAGTTGTCAAGATCCCCACCCCTAAACCATATATATTCTGGTTTGTCATGCTAAGATGGTTTGAATGATATACAGGGTTAGTCCCCAGGGGTCATCCCGACCCCCTGCCATTTTAGAAAGTTCTAATATCTTGTAAATGGTCGAGATCCCCACCCCTAAACCATATATATTCTGGTTTGTCATGATAAAGCACATCAAATGTTATACAGGGTAAGTCCCCAGGGGTCACCCCCACCCCCTGCCATTTAAGAAAGTTCTAATATCTTCTAAGTGGTCAAGATCCCCACCCCTAAACCATATATATTCTGGTTTGTCATGCTGAGATGGTTTGAATGATATACAGGGTAAGTCCCCAGGGGTCATCCCGACCCCCTGCCATTTGAGAAAGTTCTAATATCTTGTAAATGGTCGAGATCCCCACCCCTAAACCATATATATTCTGGTTTGTCATGATAAAGCACATCAAATGTTATACAGGGTTAGTCCCCAGCGGTCACCCCCACCCCTTGCCATTTGAGAAAGTTCTAATATCTTGTAAATGGTCGAGATCCCCACCCCTAAACCATATATATTCTGGTTTGTCATGATAAAGCACATCAAATGAAATACAGGGGTAGTCTCCAGGGGTCACCCCCACCCCTTGCCATTTAAGAAAGTTCTAATATCTTGTAAATGGTCGAGATCCCCACCCCTAAACCATATATATTCTAGTTTGTCATGATAAAGCACATCAAATGTTATACAGGGTAAGTCCCCAGGGGTCACCCCCACCCCCTGTCATTTAAGAAAGTTCTAATATCTTCTAAGTGGTCAAGATCCCCACCCCTAAACCATATATATTCTGGTTTGTCATGCTGAGATGGTTTGAATGATATACAGGGTAAGTCCCCAGGGGTCATCCCGACCCCCTGCCATTTGAGAAAGTTCTAATATCTTGTAAATGGTCGAGATCCCCACCCCTAAACCATATATATTCTGGTTTGTCATGATAAAGCACATCAAATGTTATACAGGGTTAGTCCCCAGCGGTCACCCCCACCCCTTGCCATTTAAGAAAGTTCTAATATCTTCTAAGTTGTCAAGATCCCCACCCCTAAACCATATATATTCTGGTTTGTCATGATAAAGCACATCAAATGAAATACAGGGTTAGTCTCCAGGGGTCACCCCCACCCCCTGCCATTTAAGAAAGTTCTAATATCTTCTAAGTGGTCAAGATCCCCACCCCTAAACCATATATATTCTGGTTTGTCATGCGAAGATGGTTTGAATGATAGACAGGGTTAGTCCCCAGGGGTCATCCTGACCCCCTGTCATTTGAGAAAGTTCTAATATCTTGTAAATGGTCGAGATCCCCACCCCTAAACCATATATATTCCTGTTCGTCATGTAATGAACATTTGAATGACGTATAGGGCCAGTCCCCAGGGGTTCCTCCCCACCCCCAATATTCTAGTATCTTGTAAATGGTTGAGATCCCCACCCCTAAACCATATATATTCTTGTTTGTCATGCCAAGATGATTTGAATGATATACAAGGTTAGTCCCCAGGCATCACTAATGCATATAACTTTACTGGACCAAACCAATTTTCAATGGATGTTGCCCAATGTCAGGCGACCCTGGGAATTACGAATTATGGGAGCTTCGTTTGGGAGACTTCGTAACAGCATCCTGTTACATTCATTTCTTGTTTCCTTTTGTTTTTAAATTTTCTTTAATTGTTGGTGTTTTATGCCACTTTCAACAACCTTGGTTATGTCATGGAAGTTTTTTTTTTTTGTGGACGAAACTGGAGTGCCTGAAGAGAATTGCCAAAATTCAGGAGGAAACTGGCAATGCTTGTCATTTAAGATTGGAGTAGAACACATCTCTCTATGTATTATCAGTGTAATTTGCTAATTATCTAACTTCCTGATATATACTACGGGCCTATCATGGTGGCCGGTTTTAATTTGTGGAGGAAGCTGGCATACCCAAAGAGAACCAAGAAAGTCATCAGGGAAACTTGCAATCCTTGTCATTGAAGATTGGAGTAGCACACACCTCACCATGTATTTAAAGAATGTAATTCATGAATTATTTTACTATCTGATACATTGGAGCCTACAACTCTGAATTATGAGATATCATTTTGTCACGTTGGCAGCAAATGTCACAGAATGAGAGATGAAGGGATGCATAAACTATTTGTAAAAGCTTTATATTTAAGAAGGCAGAAGAAATGCATGATTCATATCTTGTATATAGATTCCTTATGTTTTTAATTCCATCTGGCTTTTGTCAGTTTTCTTTGACCTCACTTTTATGATCAGTGACTGCTTAAAAAAACTAAAGGCTTTAATCACATGAGGTTTTTCAGTTATTCTGAGTTAAAGAACAATATTTGACACATAGAATCATTGCAAGGTATAAAAGTCTGTTGGGTAGGGTTCATCTAACCTAATATCATCAGTTTTCTGGAGAGAGTACAAGGTGTATTACATATTAAATATTTAGTTTTTTCATTTCAGATAATTGAAGGTTATGGACAGACAGAATCTCATGCTTTATGTTCCATGCAGTTCATAGGAGATGCTTCATCAGGTAAATTAATATCTTTTTATGAAAATTAAAAGATGTGGTTTGATTGCCAATGAGACAACTTTCCATCATAGACCAAATGACATAAAAATTGGGTTATTGTCCATTTTGTGAAAAAGTTCAATCAAGTACTGTATTGCAGTTTGAAAACACAAAAAGGCTTGCACATTGAAAGATCACAAGTAGCAGTTTCAGTTCAATTCAATGAAATTGGATATCTCAAATGTTTTTATGCCCCCGCCGTGGCGGAGGGGGCATTAAGTTTTACCCTTGTCTGTCTGTACATCCGTCCGGACGTCCAAAAGTTGGTTTCCATTCTCTTACTTTAGTTTGCCTCTACCAAATGTTATGAAACTTATACACAATGCTTATTACCACAAAACACAGATCGATTTTGAATTCTTGTGGCATCACTTTAACCGTTCTAGAGTTATGCCCCTTTATAAATGGAAAAATTGCTGAATTTTTAGTTTCCTTTCTCTAACTTTAGTTTGCCTCAACCAAATGTTACGAAACTTATACACAATGCTTATTACCACAAAATACAGATTCAGTTTGAATTTTGTTGGTGTCACTTTAACAGTTCCAGAGTTGTGCCCGTTTACAAATGAAAAAATTGCTGAATTTTTCATTTCCGTTCTCCAACTTAAGTTTACCTGAACCAAATGTTATGAAACTTATACACAATGCTTATTATCACAAAATACAGATCAAGTTTGAATTTTGGTGGTGTCACTTTTACTGTTCTAGAGTTATGCCCCTTTACAATGGAAAAACTGCTGAATTTTTAGGTTCTGTTCTCTAACTTAAGTTTGCCTCAACCAAATGTTATGAAACTTATACACAATATTTATTACCACAAAACTCAGATCAAGTACAAATTTGGGTAGTGTCACTTTTACCATTCTATAGTTATGTCCCTTTATAACTTTATATGATATGCAAGCGGGGGCATCATCTGTGTCCCATGAGTCACTGAGCATATACATATACTGCCTTGTTTGTGATGTTGATATTGCGTATTCGTAGAGTTTTTTATGACTCAATAAAGAATACAGGTTCACAGAATTTTAACATTGTTCTCTTCAAATTCAAAGTTGATGGTTTATACCCAAAATATTTCATTTGGAACAGTTGTAAGAGTTGCAGTATAAAGAAAAACAACCAAACATTGTCACCAAATAAAAATTTTGTTTGTACTTGGTTTGGCTAGCATTCTACCTGTTTCTAAGCCTTGTATAAATAAACTTATACTTCAAGACAATGTATGGTTATTCTATATTCTTTACAGATATATTAAATGTCATTAAATACCAAGTAAGCCTTCAAGTCAAATTGAAATTTAAATTAAAATTCAAACGTATCAGTACTTATCAATGATATTTCCCTTCTTTTATCCTCTTCCTAATATATATGCCTGCATGTATTGAATTGTTTTTGTGCATCAGAATAATGTTGGATTAAAAGTAGAATGCATGATAAAGCCATGAATCCACATGTTAAATATATAACAGTGACATCACAAATGACATTTCTGTACATAAATGACCAAACTTCATCCTCCCTTTCATTTATTAATAAAGACCTGATTTACAAAGGATTGAGGTTATCATTATTTTTTTCAATTTCAAAGGACAAATAATGTTTCTTATCATACCCTCCCCTCTTTCCGTTGACCAGACCAGTGAAACGTTGTAGTTTTAACACATAGAATGGTTATAAAATCAACTTAAATGGAAATTATTTATTTTTTAGCAGAGAAAATAGGGAGGTGCTCTTATCAAATCAGGAACAGTTCGGACTATTACCCATGTTAATTTTGATATGATGTATGACATATTTGGTAACGTTGAACCACTATTATTATATTAATTGTTTTAGGTAATGTTGGACCACCGATTCCCAGTAACCTTATCAAACTAGAAGATGTACCAGATATGAAATACTTTGCTGAACAGAATAAAGGAGAGGTAAGACATTCAGTCATATTTGAGTAGCAAATGTTAAAAATTAGTTGAAGCATTGCATTAAAAAAATGATTTATTGTTTTTAGTATTACAAACACATAAGAAGAACATTGCAATTATTAAATAGATTTTATTATTACCTAGTAAAGAGTATTTTACTGTTTTATTAATATTTCTATATTATTTGCTATTTTTCTGCCATTTTTTGTTCCATGGTCTATTGCACTGGAAATTATCGTTCTATTGCACCTGTGTGCAGTCTATTGCACTGACCTGTTATGACCTCTTATTCTGAAATCTGATTAGTTTAAAGGCATTCATGTTGTCCAATCAAATTGGGTCTTTTAAATGTTCTTGGGTTTATTGTTTTGATCGTTTATTTAATATGTTGACTTTAATGATTTCTTGTTATTTAAATTACTCTGATTTCATGTTCGTTTTATTGAATTTCTAAAGTATTGGTTGTACATGTATGCTCCTTACACATTATAATTAATACAGTTGTTACTTTCATGTGTTTTATTTCTAAGAATTTGTTAGAACTGACTCAGTATGTATTAGGTAATAAAACAGTTATTGAATGTGTAACAGTGCAATAGATCTAAATATATTTCCCTCAGTATGAAGATCAGCTCATTGTTCTATTGCCCTCAGCCGTTGGCTTCGGGCAATAGAACAATGAGCTGATCTTCATACCTCGAGAAATATATTTTGATCTATTGCATAGTTACATATTAAATAACTGTATAATGATGTTCGCTTTTCTGTTTAAAAAATAACAAGCTTTTTAAAAGACTGTAATAAATTGATAGTATATAAATAACGGAACTTAAAAAGCAAAAATATTTGTCAGAAGATTTCATTTATGATGATTTAAGATTACTTTAATAGGTATGCCTAAAGGGTCCAAGTGTTTTTGTTGGTTATCTAAATGATGAGGTAAAAACAAAAGAAGTTTTGGACAAGGATGGCTGGCTACATACAGGAGATATAGGAGAATGGTTACCTGTAAGTTTGTTTATTCAATAATGTATCATTGTAGTTTTGATGTTTAATCAAACATAACTAGAATTACTCATGCAATATAGATTGTTTGCTTTATGTCAGTTGGAAGCAGATTTAATTAAGATTAACTAAATGGTTCAGTTAAGGTATAGATTGTATGTCTTTATTTTTGACTGTTTTTTTTTTTAAGCTTTAACATACTGGCATTCTTTTATGCTTACATTTTCATTTTTCTGAAAATTAAAGTTTTGTTCCATTGACCATTATACTTAAATGATAAAATGCGGATAATATAAAAGCTAAAGTGTTCTTATTTTCATGATATTTAATTTTAAAAGTTACTAAAATTACTATTACTTGTATTAGACAATGAACTTGATGTCATTTTTTTTTCAGAATGGAACCCTGAAAATTATTGACAGGAAGAAACATATATTTAAGTTAGCTCAGGTATGTAATATTCATAAAAAAAAGTAATTTTTGAGATTTTGTTATTAGAGCCCCGCATCAAATGCAGAAGCCCTAATAGTTTTCACTTTGGCTGTCCGTAAAAAATTTTTGTAAGGGCAAAATCACTAAAAGTATAGATGGGAGGCCACTGAAATTTTGCATAGTAGTTGTGCATTATATGTAGATGTGCATATTTTATTTTATTAAATTCAGCCCATTAATTTTTGAAAAAAAAAAAAAAAAAATCACAAATTTTGAGAAATGTCTTCTTATAATAGGATTTTTAATAAAAACTGATATATAGGTGTATTAAGTTAATATTTCAAAGCGATTGACAAATTTTGAAAAATGTAAATTTTACCTTTTGCTTAAAACTCACAAGCATCTTCTTGTGGTAGGATGTCATAAAAAATTGATATGCATTATAGGCAAAATATGCATTCCAAATTGTTTCCTCAAGTCAAAATTGTGTTTTTTGCTAGGATTTAAATGAAAAAGGTATCATTTGCTATAATGAGAAGATTTTCTGTGTCAAATTATTGGTTGCCCAACATTTACGAAAATGCCCACCAAAAAACATAGTGCTTGGATTTTAACACAACTTTTATTTATCAAAAACACATCCTGAATTAATTGCTGGTGTTAAAATTTATGAAAATTGACAACTTATGAACATTTGCTTTGAACGCATCAGTCTCTTTGCCTTGCATAAAAATGTGCAAGCTGGGCCCAAATCAGAAAAAAGTGTAATCAGGGCCCATGCTGACATGTCAGTCATCAGTCTCTTTGCCTTGCATAAAAATGTGAAAGCTGGGCCCAAATCAGAAAAAAGTGTAATCAGGGCCCATGCTGACATGTCAGTTTTCTCTAGTTTCTATAGTATAGATTTAAGCATATTTAAAACTAAACATTAGATAACTTTGTTGTCATAGTTAAAGAACACATCAGTCAAGGCCACTTTCTTTAAAATAGGAATTGATATAAAGCTTTTCCAATGTTTATATTTGATAGGGAGAGTATATAGCACCAGAGAAGATAGAAAACATTTATGTTAGATCAACATTGGTAGCACAAATATTTGTCCATGGTGATAGCTTGAAGGTATGTATATAAGGCATACATAACACATAACAAATTTAAGAAGTCTCTTCTAAGTACTATTTTAGCCAAGTGCCTTATTCTGACTTTGCTCTCACTTCAAAATAACTACCAGAGAAGCTGCAAATTTAATATTAAAAGTGTCTGTTTTACCCTACCGACTATCAAACCCAAGATCAGCCATATATAAGTTGATCATGCTTCAATAAGACCACAGAGGCAATTGACATTTGTAAGATAACACATACATCCAATCACTATTAGACTTATGTAGCTGTTTTAGCCAAGTAGCTGTTTGACCCAATCAAATTTTGTATCCGTGAGTGCAATATGAAATTTACTAAAATTTTGATTGAGAAAAAAAAAAATTCTTTCTTGAAAAATTGTATTGAACACCAATGAGTAAAATATTGTTTGCTATAACACCCTCATCATTGTCATGTCCTAATCCAAAGCCAGATCATAGAAGCTTAACATATAGTCATACATGTACCTTTGAGAGACTGACCATTAGACATAAGATGAAGATCACAAGACAAATATTTAAAGATTCAGTGGTAAAAGAAGGTCATATGATGTATATTTCATGGTTTACTGATTTGGTTAAATTTTCAGAGATTTATTTCTCCAATACAGTTTGACCTACAATCCTATATTCTAGTGTCCTGAATATCCATGAAATAAGTGGACGTTAAGCATGCAACAATCAATCAATCATATATTCTATGTATTAATGTAGTTTGAGTGATCCAATGGTTGATCGGTCATCATGACCTACATTTCTTTTGCATTAAAATAAACAGATTAAACTGTGTTTTTTTACTGTGTGTAAGAAAGGAATTTATAACATTTTGTGAGCCATTATATGTGATTAGAAGTTGAATTATATATATCTTTTCTTCAGGCAAGTTTAGTAGCAGTTTGTGTACCAGATCCTGAAGTGTTACCAAGTTACGCAAAGTCAAATTTAAATGTATCAGGATCAATGGAAGAATTAGTAAAAAATCCAGTATGTATATTCAGTTGTATTTACATCATAGTATTGTATAGATAGTGAAAGAGAAAAAAAATAGGCTCTGAAGCAGTTTATCTTCATTTTTTTAGGGGGATTGGCCTTGATGGTAGAATAGTATATATAGTTGACAAAATGTGTTATGGCAGATCATGTCCGTTTCTACTTTGGTAGGGGTTAATGTTTTGCCCTTCTCATTTGCATAAAAATGACAAGGTACATTAATTGAGTTTATGGGTAGTGTAAGAATTTCTAGATAATTTGTGGATGGTCAGTGATATATACCATATATTTGGGTTTATTAAAAAACTGTCATGAAATCACAATAATACTTAGATGATGGGGGTTATAGGACCTGCAACAAACAAATGATAAATTCTATCCTATTTTTATGCCTCGCCTCCAGTTAGGGGGACATTCTGTTTTTGGCCTGTACATCCGTCCTGTATCAGGTTAGAGTTATGTTTTAAAAAGTTTGCCATGAAGTTGTGGTCACATTAACTTGAAATTTAGTACAGATGTTTATTATGATGTGAACTTTTTACAATTTTGCCAAATTTGGGTTTTTGACTGGAGATTTTGCAGTTCACTAAACATGTAAATGTGATAGCATAAAAGACCTTAACATGGTGTTCTATGGACACATATTTTTATGCCCCCGCCGTAGCGGAGGGGGCATTAAGTTTTATCCTTGTCCGTCTTTACGTCCCAAAGTTGGTTTCCGTTCTCTAACTTAAGTTTGCCTCAACCAAATTTTATGAAACTTAAACACAATGCTTATTACCACAAAACACAGATCAAGTTTGAATTTTGGTGGCATCACTTTAACCGTTCTAGAGTTATGCCCCTTTACAAATGGAAAAATTGCTGAATTTTTCGTTTCCGTTCTCTGACTTAAGTTTGCCTCAACCAAATGTTATGAAACTTATACACAATTCTTATTACCACAAAACTCAGATCAAGTACAAATTTGGGTAGCGTCACTTTTACTCTTCTTCAGTTATGTCCCTTTATAACTTTATATGATATGCAAGCAGGGGCATCATCTGTGTCCCATGGACACATTCCCCATTTATCGTTTATTTTTAAGAATATATTGAATATATTAACTCCCATCTATTTATCCATTTAATTATTGAAGATTGTTCTCGGTTTGTGTATGTGTTTATCAGCATTTCAGTTGGGTGTGTATTATAATTCAAATTTTTAAAGGATACATGATTTTCTTTGCAATCAAAATAATGCAGCCAATAAGGGAGCAGTGTTAAACACTAAACAACCCCAAGTGCTAATTCTGATGACTCATTTTTTGTGGTGGGGATTCTTTTGTAATTAAGGTAAAACTTAAATAATTTATAAACAATATACTTAGGACTAAATGTTTTAGATAACAACATTGAATGGTTTTTTTTCTAGGAAATAAAGAAGGCCATATTAGCAGATCTGACAAAACTAGGAAAGAGTGGTGGATTACATTCCTTTGAACAGGTTTGTTTGCTTCTTACCTTTCTAAAATTTCTAAAATTGGACTCCAGGTAATTTTTGCCAAAGATAACCTTGTAATATATTCACATTTAGAATGTCAGATTATATATGCATCTTTAATGCTGAAAATTATCAGTTATAAGCTCTTGTGTCAATTTTTTTTTACAAAATATGATGTCAAGACATATTAAAATATACATATAACTTTCTTTCATGTGATTTTAATTTTAAAAATGATGAGAATACATTCAAGAAAAACATATTGTTATTAATTTTTTTTTTAAACTTGACAGTGGAATGAATGAAATACTTGCCTTCATATTTCAATAAAAAAATTGTATTCCTGTGGAAAGTTTTGTTCATGTAGTTTTACAGATTTATCAAGAGAAATAGAGCAGCATGATTATCTAGTCAATTATTAGCAATAATGAAAACATCGCAAAATTTATGCATTTAAAGAACTGTGTCTAGTAGGTAATTGTTAAATTTTATTTCATGCAGTGCTTGAAGTCTTTGTTTACAGGGAAGTCAATTTTTTCTTCTTCTCTTTTTAAAATTTATTTTATCAATATTTCTTTTCAGGTGAGGGATATATATGTACATCCAGAATTATTTTCTGTGGAGAATGGACTTTTAACACCAACATTTAAAGCCAAAAGACAGGATTTGAAAAAGTTTTTCCAACCTCAGATTGATGAAATGTATACAAAATTACAATAATCTCTTTAGTTGAATTTTTATCACATGCAAGATTGTGTTCACAATTGGTCTATAAATAATTAAATGAAATATTTCTTTGTTTAAAATTGTGCACAGGTTATTTGTATTCCATCATGGTGTATTAATTTCCACTGTTTTTCTTTCATTTCCTCAATACTTGCATTGATAATAATCAAAAAAGTACTGTCATCCATTATTAATAATAATTCATCACTCATTTATGACATTTGCACAAAACTTTGCTAAATGTTATTTATATTTTTTACCAACTTTCACCTGCTACAGAATTTAATATATTTTATTTTTACATATCAGTAGTTTATAAATAATCATATGATACCAGTACCTTTCTGCATAATCAAACTTACCTTCATATTTATCTCATTAAAGTGTTAAAAGAAAGAATTAAGAAAACATTAATGCTGCAAACATTTGGGTGTATTTGGTAGGATCTTTGTTAGATCTAACAGCAAAACCACAAATTTTTGAACTTTGTACTCTTGGACCAGGAAGTAATTTTCAACTTTCACATTGCCTGATATGGTTCATTTGATTTTTTGGGGGGCACTGTTGTCTTTTGATTCAGTTTGCAGTGCAATTAAAAAAAAATGCATTTGAAAAATATTACGAGTATGGTATCATAATACATACAGATGCTTGCATATGAATTGTATCAGAAATAAAATATATATGTCTGTGAATGTTGGTTTTTCTTAACATATGTATATGTATATGGAAAAATGTTCAAGAAAGTTTTGTTACGTCTAAATGAGAATGTATGGAAAACTTTTATTAACTTGTATTTGTATTAAAGGTTAAAAATATAATCATAGCAACTTTAGCTATTAATATTATAGGAATATATTTTTTGTTGTGTCAGAAAAGGAAATTATTTCCAAATTCACAATTAAAAAAAAAGATTATAATGTAAACTTTAAATTGAAACTTTTTTATCTTGGATTTCATTATATATGTTAATTGAACATTGAACCTTTTTTTCTACATTCAAAACTTTTCCATCACACTGTTAAAAAATTAAATTCCATTAATATATGTTAGGCCATGCGAATTTGATTTCAGTCTTTAGATTGTTAATTAGTAAAATAGCTGTAAAACTGAAGGAACAATTTACACTTACTTTATTTGTCCAAAAGTGAGAGAATGGGATCACATTCTTTTTCTGTAGAATCAAGAAATATGATAATGAATAGAAAATATTTTTTTGTCAAAAGTAGTCATGTAAAAATTGATATTTGGCCATATAGAAAATATTAATAGATTCTATATTTAGTAAGTGATCACTTGAAAAGAAATTCTGTTCTTGGAATGTAATATGGTGATAGTTTGTAAATTGTGTGTGATGACTTGATATTTACATGTGGAGGTGTCTGAAAGGAAAATCTTTTTGGTTTTATGAGATTTAAATGTTGTAAAAAAACTTTAAAGACAATGAATCAATTTTTGGATGGATTTCTAGTTAATAACTTGACAACTATGTTCTGTGCAGCGAAAAACTTAGAGGTTGAAACTTCATATACAATATTTTATCAACTGGTCATTTCATATATACGGTTCTAACCATTTGCATCTATATATAACCATTAAAAACGTGCATATTATAAGCTGATATTTATAAGCTAATAATTTCTAATATCGTTTTGTATTTAAGACTAATTTTTAATCATTTGTTTACCTGTAAAGAATTATTTTTGTTTGAAAGGCATTTTATATATTCCACCGGCATCTGTTTAAAAAGGATATTTTGAAACATTTGCTTGAACTTGGAACTCCTTTTTCTCTCCAAAATAAAACAGAATTTACACATAAAATGTTTAATGTCCATTCAACTGTTTTAAAGGAACCTGGATGATAGGCAACCTTTAATCAATCTTTTTTGCAAAATTCTTTCAAAATGCATGTAATAGTGGGGAATACTAACATCTTGTGAATGCTATAGATCTGAGTGACAGTTTGAAAAAAAAATAGTCATAAACAATTTGATTACCCAGATCGTTTTCATTGTAATAAAATGGCTATTAGAAAACAAATTTATAAACTAACCTGGGAAAAAAAGAAAAGAAAGGTCTGTTAATAGAGAATGTTATAATTTAAATTATTGGAGGCAAAAAAATCCCTGATAGACATAGTTGTGATGAGCATGATGAGCAATACTCTTGTTTGGTACTATATACAATAATGATATAAGGTGTTAACTAGCACTGTTTGCTATACAGTGTAGTTATTCATAGGGAGCTTTGGAAAAAATTGTCTCCAAATGGGTTAGGGATATTAATTAATGTATATTTCTTGTTATTTTTATTATTTTTATTAATTTAACTATTCATTAAATGGAAACATCTGTTGTTGTGATGTTGCAAATTTTATTAAATGTGTAAAATCTTAAAGTGCTATAACTTATTATTGCATGATTATGTTTTGGTTGGTATCTTATGTCTAGAAACTCCTTGGCATTTGTTTTTGTAAAATGCTTAAACATGTTTGTTTTGGTTTTCATTAAAATTTAAATTGTTATATGTTATTTCTTGTTAGCATGTAGAGACTTAAGAGTATCATATATAAATCAAATATTCAAAGTTATAATTCTGATGTGAACACATATATCACATATAAACAACTTGAACACTATGTACACTGCTCCACATGATTCTGCTAACAGTTATGTTAAAGAATGGGGTATGAGATTTTACAGAATCACATGATATACATGTAAATAGAATTACAACAAAGGCACCTCAAAGTACAGAATCTCCTCACAATGCCAAATAATCTGAATGGATGCCTTCTCAATGGCAATATAATGGCCCACATCTGACTCTTGTCCTTACGGTGGCTTTATATATGGAGTAGATTAAAAAAGAAAAGACTTCTTTTCATTCCACTGATAGAGATATGAAAGGGAAGGATAATTTTTGTCTCGCCTGAATGCGAGACATAGGGATTACAATCCACCAGTGGTGGTGGCTGTGGCGACGTCATAACTATTTGTTTAAAGCTTTATATTTCTGAAGGTAGAAGACCTGGATGCTTCATACCTTGTATACAGATACCTTATGTTACAAAGTTTCCGTCTGTCATATGTCCATTGTCCTTGACCTCATTTTCATGGTTCAGCGATTACTTGAAAAAAAATTAGTTTTTTTGTCAAGTGAAATACTCATTATGTTATCAATTTATCATTGTAATAAGATCAATTCTACGGCATCCAACTGTTGAGGTGTCAAAGACAAGATCAACAATTTTACACCAAAATAATGCTTTTAATTGAACGTATAGTTTATATTGAGTTAGAATAAGAATAATAATATTTTATGAAAGCCTTCCTTAAAAACATACAGCTACAGGGGTATATCCTAAAAGGGGCCATGTATACTAATGCATCCACACAGAGAGTCATGCATGATTGGCAAAACAGACCATGATAGATATTGGATTTTTACTGCAAGAGAAAAAAGTTTTAACATATGAGAACTGGATATCCCTTGCTATAAACTCTCCTTATTAAATTTTCTGTAAATGATAACACAGGTATAATCTTGTTAAAGGCTTGTATCATGTATGCTGTTATATTGACATTAGATAACACAAAGTTGATATCCAATTCTTTCTCATTTTAAAACCAATAAATACCAGTGGCAGATCCAGGTGGTGTATCCCACTTTGATTGCCATTTTTTATGCCCCCGCCGTCGCGGAGGGGGCATTAAGTTTTACCCTTGTCCGTCTGTACGTACAGATGTACGTCCCAAAGTTGGTTTCCGTTCTCTAACTTTAGTTTGTCTCAACCAAATGTTATGAAACTTAAACACAATGCTTATTACCACAAAACACAGATCAAGTTTGAATTTTGGTGGCATCACTTTAACCATTCTAGAGTTATGCCCCTTTAAAAATGGAAAAATTGCTGAATTTTTGCTTTCCGTTCTCTAACTTAAGTTTGCCTCAACCAAATGTTATGAAACTTATACACAATGCTTATTACCACAAAATACAGATCAAGTTTGAATTTTGGTGGTGTCACTGTAACCATTCTAGAGTTATGCCCCTTTACAAACGGAAAAATTGCTGAATTTTTCGTGTCCGTTTTCTAACTTAAGTTTGCCTCAACCAAATTTTATGAAACTTATACACAATACTTATTACAAATGTACTACAAAACTCAGATCAAGTACAAATTTTGGTAGCCTCACTTTTACTGTTCTTCAGTTATGTCCCTTTATAACTTAATATGATATGCAAGCGGGGGCATCATCTGTGTCCCATGGACACATTCCTAATTTATTTTTGTCTCGCCTTGACGGAGTCAAAAAGCGAGACATAGGTATGCTGTTTCCGGCGGCGGCAGCAGTGTCAACAATGTATTAGTTTGTGATTAGGTCTAGTTCATGGTGAACCACTAGTGGTAGGTCAATGATATTTGTTATGCAGTTGTATTAGCATTGGCACATCTCATTACCATGGAGATTATTTGGCCCCGCCCCCTCAGTCAAGGTCTATTGACTTTAAAACTTTTCATAGTTTACATGTATTAGTTTGTGATTAGGTCAATTTCTGGGGAACCACTAGTGGTAGGTCAGTGATATTTGGTATGCAGTTGTATAAGCATTGGCACATCTCATTACCATCAAGTTTTACCCTTGTCCGTCTGTACGTCCGTATGTCCCAAAGTTGGTTTCCATTCTCTAACTTTGGTTTGCCTCAATCAAATGTTATGAAACTTATACACAATGCTTATTACCACAAAACACAGATCAAATTTGAAGTTTGGTGGTGTCACTATAACCGTTCTAGAGTTATGCCCCTTTACAAATTGAAAAATTGCTGAATTTTTTGTTTCCGTTTTCTAACTTTAGTTTGCCTCAACCAAATGTTATGAAACGTATACACAATGCTTATTACAACATAATACAGATAAAGTTCGCAATTGGGTGGCGTCACTTTTACCTTTGTCGAGTTATGCACCTTTATAAACATAAAAATTGATGAATTTTTCGTTTCCGTTTTCTAACTTTAGTTTGCCTCAACCAAATGTTATGAAACTTAAACACAATGCTAATTACCACAAAATACAGATCAAGTTTGAATTTTGGTGGTGTCACTTTTACCGTTCTTGAGTTATGCCCCTTTATAAACATAAAAATTGCTGAATTTTTCGTTTCTGTACTCTAACTTTAGTTTGCAACAACCAAATGTTATGAAACTTATACACAATGCTAATTACCACAAAATACAGATCAAGTTTGAATTTTGGTGGTGTCTACAGTTATGTCAGTTTACAAATGGAATAAATTGCTTCCCTGAGTGCAGCTGGATACGACCGCAGAGGTCCAACCCTGAACAGTTGGGGCAAAAATGGACACAATATTCAAGCTTGATACAGGTCTGAATTTGGATTGTAATTTTAAATATTTGACACATAAAAGGTTTCTGACACAGGATAACTGTAGTCAAAGAACTTAGAATTGGTTATATGATTTGAATTTATATTCAATTTTTTGCTTTTGTGCAATACACTTTGCTGTTGCGAATTGACCCCCCCCCACCCAAAAAAAAAAAAAAATACCCCCTTTTTTTTCTTTTGTGCAATACACAATGTTGTTGCGTATTAACCCCCCCCCACACACACACACACACACTTTTTTTTTGCAAAAAAAATAATATTTGAAGAATTTTTCTTTTTAATTTCTGAAATCAGAAATGAGAAAAAATTGACCCCCCACAATTTCTTTTTACCCCCCCTTTTTTCCCCCAGAAAAATTCTTACCTCAAGATATGGTCATAATCTCAATTCAAATTTCCAATGGAGTTTGCAACCATAATTACCCAATTAAATTTACCATAGTGCTAACTTAATCTATTTTATAATAGAATATAAAATATGGTGTCAAATCTTTCATATGGATTTTTTTGTAAAAAAAAAAAAAGATGCAACATTTGCAGATATTTTTACTGGTATTTCTTTATAAATATACATTTCTTTAAACATAATTTAAAAGCAGTGTAAGGGAGGTAATCAAAACGTTGTGTTTCGATTACCCCCCTTACACTGCATTTAAATTGTCTTAAGTAATTGTCCATTAACCATTTTAAAGCAGTGTAAGGGAGGTAATTCAAATGATGAGTTTGAATTACCTCCCTTACACTGCTTTAAATTATATTTTGTACTAAAGTTATTGTCCATTAACCATGACACCCTTGTTTTCCCCCTTTTTTTCCCCTAATTCCTAAACGGTTTGAGCCATAACCCCCCAAAGCAAATCCTAACCATCCCTTTGTGTTATGGAAACTTGTGGTCTAATTTCAGAGGGATCCATACACCGTTCCACATGTTATTGTCTGGAAACTAGAAAAATGCTTATTTGGGCCCCTTTTTGGCCCCTAATTCCTAAACTGTTAGGACCATAACCCCTAAAATCAATCCCAACCTTCCTTTTGTGGTTATAAACCTTGTGTTTAAATTTCATAGATTTCTAACTAATTATACTAAAGTTATTGTCCAGAAACCAACTGTCTTTTGACGACGACAACAACAACAACGTGATACCAATATACAACTGCAAAATTTTTTTGCGGTCGTATAAAAATTGCTGAATATTTCTTTTCTGTTCTCTAACACAAGTTAGCCTCAACCAAATGTTATGAGACTTATACACAATACTTATTACCACGAAACTCAGATCAAGTACAAATTTGGGTAGCATCACTTTTACTGTTCTTCAGTTATGTCCCTTTATAACTTTATATGATATGCAAGCGGGGCCATCATCTGTGTCCCATGGACACATTCCCCATTTATTTAAACTAGATACCCTAATGATGATTGTGTCCTAGTTTGGTAAAATTTGTATCAGTATGTTCAGAGAAGATTTTTGTAAAAGTTAACAACGACGGACGACGACGGATCTATGTACAAAACAATGAAAGAAAAACAAATGTGATATACAACAACAAATGACAACCACTGAATAACAGGCTCCTAAATTGGGACAGGCACATACAGAATGTGGCGGGGTTAAAAATGTTTGCGGCCGCCCAACCCTCTACTAACCTTGGAAAGTGCTGTAACAACGCAACATATGAACAAACTATAAAAATCAGTTGTAAAGGGCTAAACTCATCAGATCGAAAACAAAGCAGAAAAACAAATAACAAAAACAAAGACCGGACGTGGCAGGGTGTTTATGCATCCCCACCACAACAAAAGACACCAAGTACAGATCTGAGAGTACTCGCAGTTACAGCTAGTTCAAAGCCAACAACAACTCAGAAAAAAATCATTTATCTAAGACTAAAACATCAGTCAGTACACATCCAACACCCAATGGATTTAGTTTAAAGACGTCATTAACAGTCAGAGAAAAACATGACCTTGTGTTTGTATTTTTAAACATTTGAAAACAAAGAATATAAAGAAGATATTGACTGTCCTTATAATTATCTAAGAAGAAATTGAGTTTTAATTAATGCTAAGTGAATTTCCTTATCTTTATTTCAATCCCTTTTAGTTTATCCCACAGTATTAATATATAAATTAGTGGGACCTAATGCTATTTCAACAAGACATTGCATGCATGATGCTAAGCATAAACCGCTTAAAATTCAAAGTATCAGAAACAGGAAGTAGGAACTCATCACTGTCAAGTTGTTGACCAAATCCGAAGTTATTGTGTTCAGTAGTTCCTTAAAAAAGCATGACAAAAATATTTGTTTGGAGAACGGATGAATAACAGGCAGACAAGGCAATTGCAATATAACCCCTCTCCTAAAGTGGAGGTATATGATAATGTACATTAACAGATTTGTGGCTAAAAGTCATCATACTGTTAACTTGGCTTAAAATACTCAGGATTAAAACTCATACTAAAAGCAATATGAATTAAAAAGATGTCGTACCAAAAACATAAAGGAGACACCAACAGAATTTAAGTTCACAAAAACTGTCATCTAAAAGTCACCGTATGGCCATCCATCATTAATTCTTATCATGATAAACTGATCATAATAGATAGTTTTCGAATGATGAAATTTGAGTTTGAGTTAATAGACCCCATTTTGGCGGGATAAACGGTTGATTTTCTTATTTGACTAACCAAATTGAAACATGCTATACACACAAGTGTGATAAGAGATCCTTACTGGATTGTAGTGATGAATTTGGCAATGCCAAAAGAAATAAAATTTGTTCAGAAAAACCCTTTTTCTAAATTCTAGTGGTCAGTATAACAAATTGAATTTGGCTGATTTATGAAGAGATTTGCACACTTAGACCTCCACAACATGGCAACAAAAGGGAAGTAACTCTTGCTCAAATTGTGTCAATCCAAAACTATCTTCATTCAGCTATAAGGTAGCCACTCTTCCCAGAGAACTTAAATTTTATGCAGAAAGACTTATTTCAAACTCTGCAGCGGACTAATTAAAATCTGGCAATCAACAAACATAACAACATGTATTTTGATTGCTTTTATTATGTAACTATTTTTACAGCGTCTAAACAATTGTATGTTCTGAATATGTTGTAAACATTTATTACCAGTATTAAATGCACATTGATTATTTCATTATCATAAATGCATTACCATTTACATCAGTACATAAACTGAGCGAGCATGCCGTCATCAAAAATAATATTTAAACCAAAACAGAAATGTGAAGTGGCTATGCATGAAGAATGAAATTAAGCTTGATACTATGTTATTAATATTCCTTTTTGGCACTTTACCATAATGAGATTAAGATTGAAAGAATACATTGTAATAAGTTAATACTTTATATGAAATTACAGGAATGTCTAACAAAGCCCTATTGAGATGATATAAATTGATGAACATTTATACAAAGACAGACAAAAAATGAACTGTTTTATAAAAAGAACACATTTCAATAAGACATCTTATCTTTAGAATTGTTTAGTAACTGCTGTTTTAGTGATTTTGTTTTATTTTAACTGGTCTGTTAAAACAAGTAAACGGTCATTTATCACATATTCAGCAAATAAATTTCTTTGCTTCCCTTTTTGTTTCAAATCATGCTCCTACATAAAAGTTTTGAAATTCTTCATTAACAATGTCTATACATTAGGTATTACAGAATTAGGTTTTTAAAAGGAAGAACATAAATTCCAGTGACTCGTTTAACCAAACATTTTACAAGTGAAACAAATTGTAAGTTATACTGATATGTTTATGACTTTCAAGTATTTTTCTTGTTAGATTTTTGTGAAAAGAGTTGCAGAAATCTATTAAAAATATTCAGATAGTCCAAATATTTCCAACATGAGATGCTAATCTGTTTTCAGACTTTCAATAAAAGTTTTTCCATTCTTTGGTGGATATATAATATGCAACCAAGTTTTCTAGAAAAAAAAATCTTGCATTGGAAGTAACAAATCAATTTGATTTTTTTAAATTAAAGCTGATCTGAATTTTTTAATCAAACCTTGTCAATATTCATTGATTGTATTCCTATATATATTCTACTCTATTTTGTGACATGATTGTAGTATAACAACAACTTGTATAAATATCACAACCTGGTTTAATTTAGTATAAAAATACAGGTATGTACATCATTCTAATCATTTAATTAAAAATATCAACTATACATGTGTACTGAAGTTACAAAAACTTATCTAAATGTACTGTAAATTAGAAGTTGCAAAACTTATCTAAAAATGTACAATAAATAATGCCAGTAAGTTACAACAATTATCTAAAAATGTTAATCACATATCAAATTGTGGTATCATTTTTTTCAAAAAAACAAACTCTAATCAATCAATGAAATCTTCCTATCTTCCTATAAGTAAAAGTTACCATCTTCCCATGGCATGACGCCTGCCTTTGTGGACTGGTGGACCTGGTAGCATACTTCCCCAAGTGTTGTGGTGTATTCAATCAAAGCCAGGTCATACTAAAATCTTAAAAAGTTGGAATTTATTGCTTTAAGCATGCTGAGCATGTAAAAATTGGATATATGACTCTTTCCAGTCTTGTTCTCACTAGATAAAAACATAAAATTTGATAATTGTATCCCTTACTGTCAGTGTTAAATAATAATGTCAGTCTAAAGTCCTAAACCTAATCATAAAGACATGGACTCCTATACATGACAAATATCTTCTTTTTTAAAATTTTCATCAGCATTTTGTTAAGAAAAGGGTGTCTGACAAAAATATGAGCTGTGCCCTTGAAAATCAAACATTAACTTTAGCCATATAGCAACCAGAAACTATTTTTAAATTTCTAGATTTTTTAGATTTTTTTGTGAAAATTACTTCTGTCAGAACAACTCTTGAATAATAAACAAAGAAACAACAAAAAATGGTAAAATTAGGTCGACATATCAGAAAATATCTAACAAAAAAATTACTTAATTGTATGTTCTGAACAAAGCAGCAGAACTTGATAATAAAAAAAATATAAACAAACACCTTGACTATCAATAGTTAGTAAAATAGGTGGCCCAAAACATCATGCCAGTGGTATCCCCTTTAAAGTAAAAATTACACAGTAATCTTTCTAAAAAATATGCTTTATCCAACTCTCCTACATACTTCAGTTCTAAAAAAAAAAAAAGACAGAAGTTTTATAATACTTCATGTTTAACTATCTCTATTTATCAATGAAAATAAAAAATAAAATACAAATTTTATGTGACATGAGACAAACTTTTATGATATCAAGATAAAAAATTCAATTTACAAAAATTTAGTTTGATGCAGAATTGGAATATAAATCTCTACAAGGATCAGATCTGAATATCTCAGTGCATACTACAATTCAAATACATAAATTAAAAAGTAATTTGAATAAAAGAATAAAATAACATGCATAAAAGTTATACATTGAAAAATACATTGCTAAAATATCAAGACTCTAAACTGCATACTTGCTAAAAGTTATGATTTGAAAAATACATTGCTATAAGTAAGTTAAAAAATGTGCCTCGACTTCATAGATAACATTTATAATACATGTAATTATAACATTACTCTGTAATTACAACTGAAATAATACTCCCATCATAATTCTAGGTGGGAATTATAAAATGTTCATTATAATATAGTATATATCAAAGTATAATTTTTCAACATATCTAAAATGTCTACCATATTCTTAAACAATTATAGAAAGAAATGTTAATAAATTTATATTAATATCAAAGCGATAATATTTTGAAAAATAAACTTTGGAGCATATTGAATTTAATGGGGGAATTACTAAACACATCAATATGATGTGTCGATTTCCTTGTTACACATTTTTGTAATCATCTACAAAAAAAATACACACACAAGATATGACATGCAATTTTTTAATCATGTATTTCTTTCAACATGCTGCCTTTCAATGGTTCACATTTTATTTAATTTTTTGTTCGTTTTATTGCGTTTCAAATTAAATTCTTCACCGGAAAATCTGGGAAAACATTGACAGAATATTTTTCAATTGTATTAGCTTTTTAAATTTCTATACTTCATCAAAAACTTTAACATATCTGGCTTATCCCTGTTGAAAAGGTCTTTTTGATAAGTCTTAAACAGGAAAAAAGAAACTTAAAAATAAAGCAAACACACTGTTAAATATCACATATGAATTTAATTCATTGTAAAGCTTTATACTTATGTTGAGTATTTTACATCAATATTCTTTCTTGCAAAAGTTCAGAGACGACATTCTCTGTATTTAATTGTTTGATCCACAGAAAAATAAAATCGTTCTATAGAAAGATTTGTCATGTATATACAGTTCACTATCATACATTTGCAGATACACAACAATATTTATAACAGGAATAAAAGCACCTTAACAATGGTTCAATATGAACATTTCCATGAGATCTAATCTAAAAACAACACTGAGTTAGCATACTTTTCTACTTGATATACTAAATTAAGAAGAAAAAATTGTCAATACACTAAAACTAAAGATACAGTTCATCAGACAATACAATAAAATCAAACTGGTTCATCAAATTATATTAAACTATTGTTGGTAAAAATTCCAAAGAAGCTAATACATATATCTATATTTTAAAAATTTGTCGAAAAATAATTTCTTAATTAAAAAAAAATCATCTCTAAACTGCTTACTTGCTAAAATAATTAATCTTAGGCCATATGAAATTAACTAACTGGTACTCGGATACTGGATTCTTAAAAAAAAAGTTTGGGAGGATAGTTGGTATTTTTTCTACCATAAATTGGAGTTCTGAATGTGGTCATATTTTGGTTGATTTTGTGTCCTGTGTTGAAAGTGAAACACACACTTACAAAACATTTACACACAAAAATAAATAAATTAAAATGCATACATTTTAATTGTACAATGTATAGTATTTTTTACACCTCATATAACATTATGAATGTTTGGTATGTGGTTTTCTTTCACTTGATAGTTTTACTGAAACTTTTACAAAATTCAATCAACAGATTTGTACCCAATTTTCATCCAAGGAAATCAATTAATTTCCCAACATGCATCTGTAAGTGAGATTCAGAAAATTAATCACATAGGGTCTAAGGTATTAATAATTAAAACCTGTCATAATTCAGTCACTTAATTCTTTTTCTAACCAGTCTGGTATCCTATACTTGTGTTTGCTTAGAAGTTTGGATAGTGCTACATTATTTTTTCTGTAAAACTGTTCTAAGAACTCTATTGATGTTTCGTTCATCGGTGGGTAATGCCGACCTTTACCTCGACCCAAGCACTCACTTTTGTTGGCTGACGAAACTTGGCAGAAAAACCCTTTCTTTGGATCAAACCTGTCGAAAAGAAAATAAATTCGGTTACATTTGACAATATCTAAGCATTTCCCCCTTACACAAAACTTGCAGCCATTTTGAATGATTTAAAAGGGTATCTTTGAAGATAAACTATTTTCATGAAGAATCCAAAATAAAATTAATGTTCTCCTAGCATCATACTTGTAAGGTGTTTTAAAAAGTGTCAAAATAATAATATTCTGTCTGCCTTTTACATGGTTTCCAATGATTTATATGATCCTTAAAAAAATAATTCAAGTTTCAATGAAATCAAAAGCTTGATTGCTATTATGGACAGCATTTTTGTTATGAAGTAACACAACTCTGCTGATGTTGTAAGAGTATTGCCAGCATGTCTGATTCTATTCTATTTATGTTTTTCAAAATCTTCAAATTAGAAATGTTAACAATTGAACATCAACAAGTGATGATAAGGATTAATAAATATCATTAGATTACAAAATATTCTCAGACAAGGTTATCAAACATTACTACAAAATTAAATTTTTTTTTTATGTTTAATGGTTGTCATGGAAGTACATGCTGTTTTTGTACTTTGAAAGCCATATAGTATCTTTTATCTTGTGAAATGTCTAATGAACTCAGGACTGAAGTCATAAAATATTATTCACAAATAAGCAGCTGTACCAAAAGCACATGATACACCTGTCTTGTGCATATTGAAGATGTTGCCAAAAAATTTTCACAACCAAAACCAAGCCTGCATTTACCAATCCCAACAATACTATAAAGTTGGTAGTAATTTGATCACAGCATACTAGAGCTAGTTAAAATGGCCTTAAATCTGACAGTATAAGTCCATAACTCTGAAATGACAAATCAACACAAATTTTGAAATCAAACGACATCTTTTTTTGCCAATTCCAATAATCATGATAATAGTGTAAAGTTTCCGGTAAATTCATCTGAACATACTCAAGTATCAATGTGAAAATTTACTTAAATCTGCATAAAATTCTGTATCTCTGGAACAACAATCCGGAGAGTTTTCAAAATTGAAAGGGAGCTTCCTTTTATTAATCTCAACATGTCTTAAGTATTGAAGAAATCAATCCCAGATAATTGGAGTAAGTGCACATAAAGTTCCATAACTCTGGAATGACATAAATTAAAATCATGAAAACTGAAAGAAAGGTTACTTTGACCAATTCTAGCCTGTGATAACATTGCAGGAAAAAGTATCAGAGAAAAGTTGAGAAATTGTAAAACATTTGTAAAAGTCCAATTTTCCATTAATAAAGTCCCATAACTCTTGAATGACAAAATTTGAAAATTGTCAAAATCGAAAGGGTGCATTCTTACATCAATCCTACTGTTATCTTAAAATCAAATGAAAAGTAGTTAAAGCAAATTTGAGTTATTATACAAATATTGACATATGGATGGATGGATGGATAGATAGATGGACAGAGGTACTACGGTATATCATAATATGTAATATCTAAGACAGATGTATAAAAATCTTTGGATATAATTCTGCTCTACCTACCTTAAATAGTCATTATAATCATAATGGGGCTCTATATGTAAAAATCTTTGGACATTGTGCTCTTCCTACCTTAAATAGTCATTATAATCATAATGGGGCTCTATATGTAAAAATCTTTGGACATTGTGCATCACAGCTACTGGATTACTTTTTAAACGACCTCCATCAATTATAAAAATCTAAAATAAAATTGACATAATAAGTATTCTTATGTAGTCAATAATCTAACAATGGTCATCATAAAGGTATGTAAATTCTTCTTTTTAACACAAATTAATCAATTTTATTGCACCTTTACTGTTAACAATTAACCAATCTGCAACTTCAATTAAGTATCCCAATATATTAGTTATTGAATATCTTGGGAAAACATTCAGTAGATAAAGATAGATACATTAAAATTGTTTTATCCAGAGTCAAATGTTGACCAGAATACTGTTAGTTTTTACCTATATTGTATATAATTTTATTAAAGTATCACTGAACCGTGAAATTGATGACCTTTTGGAAACCTGATTCTTAAATATTTGTAACCTAAGTTTGCAGATTTTTAAGCTTACAGGGCTAAAATGTAAACCAGTTTAAATGTACATGTAAAAACAAAATAGTTCCTACGCATAGGTGTAAATATCAAACTATGTAGTCAGTTTCTATAATACGGTGCTTGTTTGTATTGTAAACTAAATTATTTCACTTACCTGTCTGGAGGGAAAAAATTCTAACCATTTTTGTAAATGCTGAACATATATTCCAGGTATAAGTGACCTATTGCGTAATTCTCTCACTTTCCTAGGAGCACTGTCTGGAGCAGTTATGATATCATGAAATGTATAGTTGCCTGCTACCTGATCACCACGAGCTTTCATGTGCTGTAATAAAAGAAAATCCGTCATTGAAACATTAACTAGCTGCAGCAGATTCTTTTAACCACAGCTGAAATCAAGTGTAACCTAATTTTGATGGAAAGCTCTGAGTTTCATTCCCGCCCTAAGTAATATAATCATAGATCATTTATCATCCAACAAATGAATTCTAAGATATAACTTTACAACAAAATGCAATTGAAATGTGTTACAGACAGACATATGGACGGAGGGACAGACAGAGGTAAACCAGTATACCCCCACCTTTGGAGTAGGGGTATAATAAGGAAGCAAAAAATAAAAGTATAACAAACCAAATTTTTTTAAAACTTTCTTTTTCACTTTTAAAGGCTTTAAAAGAATTTCTTTTATTAATATTACATCTTATCATCGCTTACCTGATACCAAGAATATGCCCTTTTGGCAGGATCAATGAGTATACAAATGATTTTTGCTTTTGGCAGTAAGGAATGAACTCTATATGGTACCAATTCCCCGTCAAAATAATTAGCACTTTTCTCAAACAAAAAATCAGAGGTAGCGTTGCCAGGTACTGGGAAAAACTCCATATACCTGAAAAAGAATCAGTGATATTGGTTTTATATTTTGCAAGCAAGAGATCCATTCAGTATATTGCTTTTTACTTGTTGTAGAACATACATGCTAAAAATATTATTTTTCTGCTAATTTGCTATGAATAAAAACAATTATGTGAATTGCCTATCAATGTTAAGTTGGAAGGTCTATCATTAGGATAAGTTCACACCTAGCAACTAAACTTTACAATAAGTAAAATAATGAAGAAACTTTAAGACTGAATGGATTGCAGGACCTATGTGGTGCAGTACATTTCATGTCTGGTTAATATAAGTTAAGACTGGATGCATGGTAGGATCTATGTGATGCAGTACATTTCATAACTGGTTAATATAAGTTAAGACTGGATGCATGGCAGGATCTATGTGGTGCAGTACATTTCATATCTTGTTTATATAAGTTAAGACTGGATGCATGGCAGGCTCTATGTGGTGCAGTACATTTCATATCTGGTAAATATAAGTTAAGACTGCTCTAACCCATTTGTCATGACCTCAATTCTCTTAGTCTCAAATCAATTTATTTTCAATTAAGTTGGTTGAGGGGCCTTGTTTGGTTTTAGGGTCAATTTTGCCTAATTAAGGCATGTTGTAGTGCATTGCTCTTTGGATTTGTTCTTGAAATTTAGCCATATCTTTTACTGACCACTTACTGAGATGCGAAATAAGCATTGACATAAGTCTGAAACAGACAACAGGAAAGACATTCAAAATCTTTTCATAATAATTAATATTCTCAAAATAATCCAAACACGACAATGAAAAGTGAGAATGACAAAATACAGTGTGCATGATAGATTCTGGTCACAGAGTCAAACTAATTAATCTATTCTGTTAGTTGGATAACTGACACACATAAACAGGTCTCCTCATTTAGTATCAAAGATACTATTAGCGTACATTAACTTCTGTTTTTTGACAATTGAGGATAGCAGAATGAGGGCAACAGATGTATAATTTTTTACACTTCTGTTTTTTGACAATTGAGGATAGCAGAATGAGGGCAACAGATGTACAAAATTTACACTTCTGTTTTTGACAATTGAGGATAGCAGAATGAGGGCAACAGATGTATAATTTTTACACTTCTGTTTTTTGACAATTGAGGACAGCAGAATGAGGGCAACAGATGTATAATTTTTACACTTCTGTTTTTTGACAATTGAGGATAGCAGGATGAGGGCAACAGATGTATAATTTTTACACAAGTGGAGAATATCCAATCTTGATTTTTTTTAATGAATCTTATTATTTTTATAAATTAAGATCTGCAAATTGCGCACATCACGGAGCTGACATAAAAAAATTGCTATGAATTATTTTGAATGCTTGGATAATTATTCTAGTAAAAATTGCATTTAGACTTTGGATTTAACAGTGAACTATACTGGGATAGGGATATTGGGGCATGTGTATACATTTACCAAAGAATTAATTGTTCATACAATACATATTAGCTAGAAACTTATGGAAGGATTTTTACACTATTTATGATTCATATTTTAAAAAAATGTACTAGTACTAACCAATCAATGCCTTTGTGGTAATTATTACCATTAAAGAACTGTACTTCTTCAAATGTGTCAGGACTGTTGTAGTTTGCTAAGATAGCTGGGTGTATCTGCAGGAATTTGTATAAAGCTGTTGTACCTTAAAAATAATTATAAATTGCAAGTTGCAATATCAGTACAGAAGGTAAAGCAATATAATTAACAATTTATGTGTAGTAAGATGAGATAGAGCAATTTATTATATACTTAGTAGTAAATACAAGTAAATTGTATGTGTAATACAATCAATGGCAATCATGCTGTATCAGCCAACCGTGATATATCAACCACGGTTGCGAAGGCTTTATCTGTATAACGTCACATAATCGATATCAGTCACTGTTACAAGGGCTTTATCAAACCCCTTATATATGTTTTACGTCATGTCACGTGAAAAAACATATAAATTAGTTGTACGTGAGGTAAATGTATATAATAAAGTGTATATGATATGGCTTTTTCAATATCACACTCTTTATCAACCCTCAACCAATATAATCCCTCGAGCAGAGCTCTTGGGATTATATTGGTGTCTTGGGTTGATACAGCTGTGGTATTGAAAAAGCCATATGATATTCTCTATATATTTGTTATCAACATATGTAATATCTAGGGTTCAAGCAATAAATTTAATATCAAATTATTAAGTATCTTGAGTTAGGGTAAGATATTTAATGCTGAGTTTTGCAAAGGTTGGTGGTCTCAACCAGTATCAAACAAGTGAAATAGCAAGATTTTCGACAATGATATTGCCAATATATTTCAAAAGAATAAGTCATTTTGTAACTTATTTTCAAAAGATCAGTGTGCTAGACAACACCATAACATGAAGATCCTTATGACACCAACAAGTGGGGGTGTAAAAGTCAATACGGACAAGTGTAAATTAGTATTTAGTATAATAAAATCAGTAAAATCATTAATACATTATGCTTTCTGGATTGCTGCATTATCACATTAACTAGATATAGCATTAGCAACTTCATCCAATCTCATCTTCTGCTCAATTTACTAACAAGATGACATAAAATTATTGACTGTAACTTTTTGTGGGATTCATGTCAATTTCCGCTGAACTAGTATACATTTTTGTTTAGGGGCCAGCTGAAGCCCCCCCTACGGGTGTGGGATTTTCTTGTTGTGTTGAAGACCCATTGGTGGTCTTGGGCTGTTTTCTGCTCTTTGGTCGGGTTGTTGTCTCTTTGACACATTCCCTGTTTCCATTCTCAATTTTAATCATCAAATAGTTTACTACCTTTTCTTAAATTCTCACTGAAATCATCTAAAAATTTATGAATTGTGCATAAATTATTGGATGAACAGACAGAAAAGGTGATTAAACATTATCTAATATTGTATCCACATCTTTGCTGACAACATAGTTTAGTTCAATATTGCATATTTCCTTTATGAACTCATCTTGTTCCAGTGTTTGTTCAATTACCAAATGCTATCAACCTTTTGGAATACAAATATGCATTTCTAATACAAGAACTACAGTCATCATAAATTTCATTTGCAGGGGGTATAAATAACATTTTAGCATAAAATATACCACACAGTCACAGTATATAAATAACACATAGCTGAGAGGGTAATAGAGCAGATTATTACCCTGAGAAAACATTGTTAACTGAGGCGAAGCCAAGGTTGACAATGTCTTTTCGAGGGGTAACAATCTGCTCTATCACACTCTCAGATATGTGTTATTTAATTTATTATACTGAATGTTCTGTTATTACTGTCTATTAAACTTCCAATTCAAAGTAATAAACTATGACGTGTCTTGTACATAACAATCATCCATATTTAATAAAGTGCACACTTGACCAAGCGTCTCCGTGAAGGGTAATAGAGTATTTGCCATGGGATAGAGTAAATTATCTCCCTCATATTAACCAACCAAAATCTGGCATTTTGACATGAAGTATAATAAATTTAAATATCCCACAAATTCACAGATTTAAATATCCGTACAAAGCTGCACCAATGATCATTGATACTGAAAGGGTGATACGGGTGATACCACATCTATTACAAGTGTATAACTAACTATACCTGTTTTCTGAGGACCAACAACAAGGAATTTTGGCAATCTATCACAGCTTTTGTTAGCAGACCAGATCTGCATATGTCTTTTATACACACATGGATCCTGAAAAGAGTAATGGTATGACAGTGACAAAAGAGTAAAGGAACAAAATTTGAATGTGTTGTGAATCAGTATATATCTTTCATCCTTATTAAGGCAATCTTACTATCAACAAAACTTTTGTCAAGAATTTGTATACAAAAAGAATATTTCCAAACATACTCTGTGTTTAGGAATGTTAAAGAAAAACCATGAATTCCTGACAGTAGCTGGTACTCATCCAGTATACATACTTCTTATCAAACAGTTGTTTATCTATTGTAGTTTCAATTTTGAATACTTGACTATTCAATTGTTACTTCTCTGTTCCTAATAGAAACTCATTATAATCAATTTATCTAATGGTCTTCCTTCATAATAATGTCTGTTAAGCAGCCATCCATCATCATCATCATCATCATCATCATCATCATCATCATCATCATCATCATCATACTAATGTCAAGATTTAAAATAATCTAGCTATTCACATTTGTAACGTATGACTCCAAATCAGATAAAATTAGCTTTTGAGTTTGAACTTTCATAGAGAATACACAATTTAACCTCTAACCCGGATAGGATAAGCTTTTATCTGTTTAAAAATCAGCCAAGTGCTTTGTAGAGTAGTGGTACTTTATGACAATGATTAAGATATTTAGTCAATGACGCTTTATATTTGGGTACCTTCAACAACATCATTTATTTCTAGCACTGGCCTCTTTAATTCCAGTCAAGGATTATAATTACTGTAAATTCAGAAATACATTTTGTAATTGTGAGGTTTTTATTAATGCGAATAATGCAACTTGAATTGGTGATTATCGCAATAATAAAAACTTGCATTCCGATATCTGATATATATATATTTGTATACAGATTTTCCTGATATAATTAATCTCACATTTTTGTCCATTCTTCAAAAATCGCAATGATAAATGCACACAATAATTTCTGAATTTACAGTAATATTCAGTTTTTATTCTTACCTGCCACACTGGTTCTTTATCTTCAGGATACATCTCAAAATATTTAATGCCCATTTCTAATGGTGTTACCTGCTTCAGCTGCAGATTTGTCCAGCATTTAACAAATTTTATTACACTTTCAAATGTATACAAAGCTAGTCTGTCATTTGCATAATTACCCATATGAGTCATGTAAATGTTTATCTATAATAAAAAGTCATACAATTTAGTTTAAAAACAAAGTAAGACATAACTGCTCATTTAGTTCTCTTGTGTATTTAATTAAACACATTTTATGTACCTGTATGTTCATTTCACTTATGTCACGGTTATACTTTCAACATCATAGAAAATATATGATACCATTTCTGTCTCCAAATCAAATCTTTAAATCTACAAAAATTTTACAGATTAAATGTTTTTTTGTGTATTTTTCAAATTTATTCAACCACTTCCTTAAGTATATGTATACCCAGATAATATTGCCATGACATTATTTTTTTTTGGTCACAAGCCTCCAAAATCGTGTCTTCACTGAGTCAGTTTCTAGTATTATATATCTTTATACAGGAAGTTCGCCATTTTTAATGTCAATAGCCACAGTGATGCTGATGAACATTGTTTTGATCAATTCTGTCACATATTTCAATATAATAATTTAGCAGTTACGACATCTGATGTGTTGGTGCAAAAGTATATGTACAAGATATTCTCATAAAAAAGAAACCATAAACACAAATTATTTTGGGGGCATTTGATAGTCCAAAAACATTTTTATCAGTTAAAACAAGTGAACTATGATAAAATTTATTAGAAAGTAAATGACAGACATTCTGTGAGTCTCTTGAATTATGGTGTATCTAAAAATAATGGAACTTACAGGATTATATAGGAATGTTTTGAAGAGTTCTCCCCCTTGTATACTGTCATCTAACTTTTTCCTTCCACCAGGATAAGTATCAATGTATAATGTTTTAGTAAAGAGACCACATGTTTGACGAGGTAGCACCTGAAAAGTTTAACAGAATATTAGTAAAATCTATTATCAAGTATAAGTTAAATTATATAGCACATCAAAATAATAAAACATACAATACGAACTTACTTTTTATCAAAATTGTTGCATTTGTCAAGGCTATCATTACTTTTTTCAAATATTATATATTTCCGACAATAAAGTGTTGTGAGTATTTTTGTGTAGATTTAGTTCTCCAAAATGAACAGGAATATGAATATTCAAACAATATTGACTAAATAGAACATTTGTAGAAGAAAGTAGCTACATTATATTAACATGACATACACAATTAGTATTGATGCATGTTTAATGATTGATATTGCAAAGTTTAGACAAAATATTAATTTCTTTTTTACTTACCATAACCCCTTTATGAATGAATCCCCGCCTCTTCCACGAAGGATAAAGTCGAGGATATTCCTCTGTACTAGTTACTCGTATATCCCACACATTTTTCCATGCTTGGTAGAGTGGTTCATGTACAGGATAGACACCGGAATGATGGGGAGCAACAGCATACTGATGCATCACTGGTATATTGTGTTCCTGTAAATAACAACACATGTTTACTGCCAGCCACTTTAACATTTGTTTGCCATAGCCAAACTGATCTTTTAGAAATTAAACACTAAACAGTTTTTTTGTTAGTTAAAATAATCAAAGTGATTAAAATCAATGATGGAAAGATTGGAGGAGTTCTGTGCATAATTTCAAACAATATTTAGCCTTCCATTGAGATATGGTGCTTCACAAAAATAAACATGATATAGCACTATTGCTGCATTTCTTCACAATGTGTTAAACATGTGTCTCTTTCAGGAGGTCAATCAATTCTCATAAAATTTCTTTTAAATTTAAATTTTATGTTTTTATCAAATCATGTTCACAGTTAAAAGTATTAAGTTTACATTTTTTTCAAATACCAAATAAAGGTTCATTGTAAGAAGTTGGGATTCCATTTATCAATAACATATAAAGCTGTTATCAAATCAAAATATATCAAAGAGTACTGCTCAAGTCAGTCAACTTTGCTGAAAAATGTGTTTTATTCATTATTAAACTCTCAAAAAAAGGAAATGTAAGGGAGCAACCATTTAACTTCAAGGGGGGGTTATGGTTTTTTGTCGGAGTCAGAAAAAAAAATTTCGAACATTTTTTTTTAGTTTTCGACGCTATCAATCAAATTATTTTTTTTTCAAAATTTAACACTATAAGGTATGGGGAAAATCTGGATTCAGAATATTTTTTTTTGTCATCTGCTTGACCACAATATTTTTTTTCATCAAATTGGGGATCAACATATTTTTCTAGGAAAAAACCATAACCCCCACCCCCCTTGAAGTTAAATGGTCGTTCCCTAATAAAAGTGGTATGAAAAATTTCTTAGAATTTCATGAGATATGTGTCAAGTGTATCCACCCGATATCATTTCTTCTGTTGTAAAAACATCTCAGTTCCTTGTTATTTATTTTATTATAGATTGTTCTTAAAATTAGAGGGAGTTCCTTTGCTACAATCTCATGGAACGGGATAGCCCTGAGATGAGATGCTGCAGAGAAATATCCTGGAGTTTGAGAGACCATTGATTTTCTGTTTATCTCTATTTTCCTTGGCATCGACAATGATGTAGGCTTATGATGTCATACATTTTCTTTAAACATGACCAAAAATAAACCAATATCAATGGAGTATCATGTGAAGAAAAATTATCATATAGAAAGAACAAAGGAAAATTTGAGACAATAGAGATAAATGTCAGTATTTGTTCATTCTGAATAAAGAAAGCAATGATTTTAAACATTTGTTACTTACTTTTGCAAATTGGTAATTTTTAATCATAGAAGTTTCTAATTTAGCTTGGTCAAACTTATGTCCTTGTTCATGTCGCCACATATGACCAAACCACCAAAATTTATTCCTGTACTCTGAAACACAAAAATACAATTGATTTTTATTTCGTTCAAAAGTTTCTCTACAATACAAAAATAGGGTCTTATTTTTAGGACTCTCTGCAGTTTTAAAAAAAATTCACCTACTAAGTACATGTACTATATAGATCTATAACTTCACTACGATGAATGCAAGCATCCCTATTTTCTGAAATTTTTGACAATGTCAAAGTAACAAAAGTCTTATTTATTAGTGTAGAGCTACCATCTATAATTCAGATGCCATGGAGTTTAAGGCAGAATGTAGCTCTTATTGGTCTAGCCTAAGATCTCCTTAAACACACCTCATAAAAAAACATTTATTCTTGCAAAAACTTATCTTAAGTGTACTACTTCCAGTTCTCTCTCTTAGCCTTTTAATTCAAATATTCCTGCAGTCTAACCCAATCATTTGCCTTATAAAGTATTTTCGGTCGTGTTATCTAACAAATATCTTAATGAGCTCTGTGATAATCTAAATGTTTGCATTATTTCTGTATTTCGTGACGAGATTGTTTGTCAACTAATGACTGTTATTATTAAAACCATTATTCCCTTGCTTTTGTCAAGCATATGTAGAGGTGTTGTGTCTTGAAATAATACACCTTATCCATACTTTTCAATTATTTTAACATGCAACAATTTCAAAGTCTCTGCTTGTGGTTGAGATGCTTGGATTTCAATATGAGTTTATGTTATTCAAAATATAAACTTTAACTATGACCATGCTAATAATATTTTATTAAATTCAAAAGCTAATGCTGCTTACAAATTTCTGTTTCTGTCCATTTACATGTACACATGAATTCCATATGATTGGTTATAGAGGGATTGGGTACACTGATAATCAACAGCCAAGGTTTTTCTCTGACTAAATATAACCACATGATTTGGTGTCTTGTAGTCAAAGAACCCAATACTAAAAGTCTCCCCATTATGAAGACCATAAATTTGAACATTTTGAGGAGTCCCATGTAAAGCTGATAAATCCAAGACTCATACATTCAAGTTGCAATGATCCCTGAAATGTACTTGTTAAGAACATGTGATACAATCTACCTTATTTAATGTTTATACGAAGACTACAAAATATACTCAACTGTCTTTCTGGAAAGGCACCTACCTAGTATCTTCTGATCACCTGCATTTTCTAAAGAAGTTCCATGTTGATAAAACCAACCAGAAAATCCTAGATTAAAATGGAAGTTGCTGACTTCCTTTTGAAGTCTTTCCTGAGACTTTGCCAAAGCCTGAAAGAAATTCAAAAAGTTGTTGATAAAAATGAGTGTAGATTTAAATCTAATCTTTGCAAATCAAAACAATGAAAAACAACTCTAAGAAAATCTAGCAAATCAGAGTTCTCACTGATTTATTTAATATTAATATTTAGCCAATGAAACATTATAATACTAATTGAAAATCTTAAATTTTACTTCGAACTCTAAACAAAATAATTGAATAAAAAGAAATGTGAAGAAAATGTCACTGATACAGCAACTCAACAGTTTAAACAAAAATTCAAAAAAGTCTTCGGTTTAATGGTGAAGAATGTCGAACTATTTTATTTCTTATAGTTTTTCATCCTAGAAGAGAAAACCTTTTTACCTCTACATCGTCTGCTGTCATTCTGGTGCCAGTTATTCCAACAAATATGTCATCAACATCCACTAGAATGTATCGTTCTAAAGGAAAACTCAGCTTCCCATGTGATAAATATGATATACCATCAATAAATATCATCTGATGTACCCAGAAACTTAAATCATTACCAAAAAAAATTCTCTGTATGCCATCTAATGTTCCACGATCTAGCAAAGCACAAACAACTGTAGAATTATCAGGTATGTAACGAGAATTTAAATATGGAGGTGGTGCTAGTTTTGCGTAAGACAAAGGTTCATAAGTAGAATGATTGTATTCAAACACAACCCAATCATCTTCTTCGATATTATCTAAAACTGTTTCTCCTGGTTTTGTTATTCGCCATATATCAGTGAATGCATTTAAGCGATAGTCTTTAACTGCAACATTGTACCTTAATATCAATGGCAAACCTGGTACTTTTTCTTTTTCAATGCCGTACTCGTCAGCAGAGTGTACAAAAATTATCATTCCAACTTTATAATCTTGACAGTATTTATCTAACAACTGTCTGTTCCAATTATCCATGTTGACATATGCTTCAAGACTTTCAAAAATAATTACAGCAAATCGTCCTTTATCGGCATGGGTAAGAGTAGGTAAATTGTGACCTGCGTTTTCTAATTTGTAATCAATACGGGCATATTGGAGAGAACTGGTTATTTGTTTGGCTGCTTTAGAATATTGGGATTCCACAAAAACTAACACTCTAGCACCTATATGAAGTCTTTCTTTTGAAGTATGATCCTTTGGTGTGAACATAGATTTCTGAAGGTTGTTCATACGGCATGTTATGACAGGTTCTGGTGGGTTAGCTATTCGGTGCACTGGACTTGAATTAAGAAAATGATATGTGAAAGCGATAAAAGACAGAAAACTTAAACAAACAACTGCTGAAACTAAAGTCTTAGTTCGTCCCACACGATGTAGTGGAGACCCTCTTAGATAATTTGTCTTCAGTCGCTCCCAAAATCTTTTGAACATCATTTTGGTAATTTTTTATGTCACTTCTAGTTGTATTATATCAAACCATATGCTACAAAAGACTGTTTTAGAACACAGTAGGGTTATGAATTCTTCCATATTTGTAGAAACAGCTTGGTCATTATGGATGACAGAATTCTTTAAATCTAATAGCTTGTTCCAGCACTGCCTCTATCAATCAATATTTTCCAGCAATGCCTCTATTAATTAACTTGTTCCAACACTGCCACTATCAACTAGCTTGTAACAGCACTGCCTCTACCAATTAACCTGTTCCAACACTGCCACTATCAACTAGCTTGTAACAGCACTGCCTCTACCAATTAACCTGTTCCAGCACTGCCACTATCAACTAGCTTGTAACAGCACTGCCTCTATCAATTAACTTGTTCCAGCACTTATTTCTCTATGCATAAATCTCATTATTACAATTATCCTCTGAAAAAAATATAAAACCATATTTAAGCATGTGAATAATTATATCTTAAATTTGACCCACCATTTATATAAAAACAATTTAAGCTAAGGCAGAATTTTAACATACAGTACATTTTAAGTCTTGCTCCTATAAATGTCCCTATGGGACAAGAAGTCCGACTGTAATTAACCCCTGCAGTGATATTACCTATGTAATACCTTGCTGGAAGGTCATGTACATGTTTTATTTTAAGATAACGAGTATTTGCTCTTTCTTCTTCCAAATGCAGTGTTCGTATCTGAGATGCAGCAAGAACTGAATTTCAAAGTCTTTTGTTTCAATATTTATTACTGTTGATTAAACTAGCAATCAAACTCCACTAGAGCAAGTACACTGCCATGAGACTACCTAGACAGTTGAAGTCTAGGCAATCAGACTTGATCTATTACAGTTTTCAATACATGTATATTAGGCAAATACTTGCATTTCACCCTTATGCATAAATGATTATTGATTGTTAGTCATGGTAGTCAAGTTGGTTGGTTGACTACTATGGCTAAAACTTGGTTGATTGCAAGGAACAAACACATACACTTTCATTCAGCCAAATTTTGTTGGATTGGTCCAATGGTTGCAAAGGAGTTTTTTTTTTATTTTATGAAGACACAATAGACTCCTAGTAATGCCCACATGGTCCATAGGGCCAGGTGAGCTAAAAAGAAATAGGATTAAAAATGATTGAAAGCTTCTATCACATCTGAATCTATGTTTTCAGATAATCTGTTTGAGGCTCCTTCTTCATGCAGATTTGTATGGTATTGGACTCATAGTCAAGTGTATGATTCTATTGCAAGGAAATTTACAAGAGCTGTAACTATCATCATTATAATTCCCACACTGCATTATAAAAACATAAAAAGCAGCCATTTTGTTCCTTCATTCTCCACAAAGGACACATATTTGAACAACAAAAATAATATGCTCAGCTGGGCGCAGCTTGATACGACCAACTCTAACAGTTGGCCAAATTTTATGGTCTTATAAAAAAAACGCTTAAAGGGACACATGATAAATGGACAAGTTCAGAAATTCAACTTCTTCATTGTATCTTCAAAAATTTTATAGTGCAGTCTCAGTGTCTGGTTAATGAAGTCATCAGGGCCAAGCAGAACTTCCAAAACAGTGACATTCCCTAAATTGGTCCATTGATTCCTACCCCTGCCTTTAAAGCTATGCGTAATAGTGGATAGAGGCTGGACCTTTTTGATCTAACTTGTGAGCATGACGGGAAATAACATCTATTTTCTAAAGGAGAAAAATGAAATTTTCAAGAGAAAATAAGTTTCCTCAATTATTAATTGCTATTTCCCTGGACGATTATATGGTGTTTCAGTTCATATATAGGAAATATTAGTGGACTAAATACATTGTGTACTCAACATTTCTCCAATCATGCCAATATAGTGGAGGAATAATATTAAAACAGAATGGTGGGGCAGTCAAAAATCAACACAGTGATAAAATCAGATATTAAAAAGTTGCCCATCACCTTTGTTAATGTTTGTTCAGCGAAATTGTTGTTCTCTACATTCAATGATTTCTTTAGATTGAAGAAAATACGAATTTCAGGCAAGTACTCTTTTTCTATTTAATACAAATTGTTTTTGAAATTATCCATATCGAATTTACAACAATGGGGGGTCTAATTTCTAATGTAGTTGTCTTTTAGTGGGAATTCCTCTGCCTTTTCCAATCAAAATGTCATAATTCAATGCCTTTGGTGCACAGGAAAAAATTATAAACATGGACAGTTTACCACGAAAACCACTACAGTGCTTCCATGAATGACAATATGCAAGACCGGTCAAAGTACTTCTATTTCTACTTCTACTGGATAATGGCCACAATCAACAAACTGAATATTTTGCCACTACTTCGGTGCGCATACGGACCCCCTAAAGTCAAAGTATTACCAACATACTTTGATATGTGGTTTTGGTATTGATGGTGACGGACGTCTTTTTATATTGTGCTCCAATTTGAAGAATTACTTGTGGTGTTGGCGTTTATTTGTTACAGGAACATATCAATAACATTGCATAATAACACTGGCGTGATCAATTTTACCTTTTAAAAAACGTATTTCTCCGATTTTTAGAAAGATTAACTTTTTACATGTGACCCGCCAAAAAAAAAAAGTGAGAAAACATGGCGGCCCTTGGCTGAGAAAGAAGTTTTTGCAGTCCACACACTACTCTAAGATTTTACTTAATAATTTATCTTAATGTAAATATAATACTTGACATTTTAATAGTAAAGTCTTAAATCCAGAAACTTTTACTGCGAAGATATCCAAAAGCTTCGAAGCTGTGATCCTGTATCAGTGTGAGGCCCTAGCTACATTAGAACTTTTAGCATATAGATAGTTCTTAGATATTTCCGTCTACCGGTAGAAACATTTTATTACTTGCATATAGCCGTAATTTAATTTTATCGACACCAAATATACTTTTATCTGTGTGTGTTTGTGCTTACGCTTGACTTTACCTTAAACCTAACTCGCTATCTGCACCTCAGCTTTCCATATATACTCTTATACCTGTGTAACCAATTACTAATGACGGATAAAAAGCTTCTTAAATATTTGAGAAAAAGTTTTGAGCCACCAAACGGAGTACAAATACTCACTCCAGTAGTTCTCACAGATAGTAAGGGGAAATATTTACAAGCACAGTGTAGCTTACCTGTCGAAACCAGTATCAGATGGTGGGACAAATCTGGCCGTAACTCAAAACAAGGACTGAAGTGGTTACCTGATAACTTAGAAACAGAAATAGCACTAATAGGCAACATTTCACTCTACATATGGGTTGGCACATGCGATCTCACTGAATACAACCATCCCTATATTAAACTGAGACAAGATCCCAAAGAAATTGTTCAATCTGTGACAAATAATTTCCAGAAAATTGCTCAAATTCTTAAGAATCACCCAGCTTGTAAATTAACTTTTTTTGAAATACCACCCTACTCAATATATGGTTGGAACTCTTGTCACTCACATCCCGACGTTAAACAGTTTATTGATCAGGACATCACTCTTGTCAAACATATTCTTCAGATTAATGATCATATCAGATATATAAATAACACCTTAGAAACAAGAACCCCAGGATTTTCAATTGATTTATTACACCCTGTAAATACTTCAAAAAAAGACTCAAGCCGGAAAGCAGGTGACCAAGATAATTTCAGTCTATATAGAGACGGGATCCACCCAGATATCAATCTAGCCCGAGTTTGGCTAAGAAAAATTGCGCATAAAGCCAAGACCGACTGTTGGTAGGCTGTTGGCTAGCGGTCAGGGTGGGACCTTCCACAGGTACCGTTGACACAGTATAGCTAGGCTAGGGTGGGACCTTCCACAGTGTCTAGTTATCTGTGTTGCAACAGTCCTACCATACAGGGTTCATTGGTAATATAAACCTGGGTATACAACGTAACAACCAACAATAATGGATCTAGTAAGAAAATCTTTGAGAAAAACCAAAAGTGACAGTAAAATTTCATGTCCAAATGAATATGAGAATAACTACACATTAAATATTGAAAAATCATTAAAGAAAAAACTAGAGTATACTAAAAGATCAGAAATTGAATATGAAAATACAAGGGGTGGTGTGACGGCTAAGTTAGATGCTGTTTCCTTTGAACTCTTTATCCATGCCTGTGAAAAATTCTACAGGGAATCCAATCTGCATGAATTTACCAAAACAATTGCTACTGATAGACAGAGCAACAAAGTACAATATACTTTCCATATAAAGACAAAAGATACAGACCCGTTCATTTATACCATTAATGCATATCTCACAAAATGCTCATTATTGATAAACAGGAGAAATACACAATATTTCATAAACAATGATGTGAATCATATACATAAGATTATGTCAAACACAACAATTCAAGGAGCAAAAGTGAATGTTGAACTTTTGAACAAAAATTTAGCCTCCAAATTAGAGACAGCATTAGAGTCCATTGATAATTCAAAATCATCTTTAGAACCAACATCAGCCATATCTAACCTCCATAATGCTGTTGAAAAATGTCACAAATGTAATAGAACTTGCAAATCTAGAGCTGTACTATGCCAATCTGGCCATTGGGTGCACTACTCATGTGACAAACTCTCTGAAAAAGATATATAAACAATTGAAAAAGATGAACAAAACTACATCTGTAATAAAATGCTCCGCTGGGGCACAGCTTGATACGACCGCAGAGGTCAAACCCTGAACAGTTGGGGCAAGTATGGACACAACATTCAAGCTTGATACAGCACTGAATTTGGATTGTAATTAAATATTTGACACAGCATAGGTTTCTGACACAGAATGAAAGTGGTCTAAGAACTTATAATTTTTTAATTTACCTATTCATATATGTGATGGACTGTGAAACTCAGATCAGGAGATTGGGAAATTTTGGTCAGGAGATTAGGACTCAGATCAGGAGGTTTTTAATCGACATAAATTTTGTCGTAAATGTAACCGTGTGCTGTAAAAATGGTCTTTTAAAGTGTGTTTTCTTCAACTTTCCATCCAATTTATTATGTTTATAGTACCCTTGTACTTATAAAGTTTCTCCATCTTTATATTTTACATGTTCAATCTAACATTTTTTTTTTTTCAGTATGTTCTTTAAATTTTTTACTTCATATTCTATAAAACATTTATTGCAACCAGAACATTTGTTTAACTATCTGCAAATAGCTTTTGTTTGCATACTCAGAAAATCATTCTAACAAGGGTCATAGTTATTATATAAATTTCAATTTAAGCCTTGAAAGGAAGTATAGAATCCTCAAATAATTTTCAAATTATTATTTTTTTATTTGTCCTAAGACATTTAAAATCATTTATTTACCATCCTTTTATGATTATTTGTTCAATTTATATTTTATTTATATTCTTTTAAAAATTTTCATTATTAAAAGGAAAGTAACTTAAAACAGGAT